TGGGTCAGAGGCGGCGCAGGAACCATTCAAAAAGTGTTCTTCAAATAATGTGTCCTAAAGTCCAACTATACACAGTCAAATTTGCAGCAGTGCAGAATACTCTTCTTCTCGGTCAAAGAGAGCTCAGCAGGGGGGAAACAAACAGATCGGCCTCCCCCAACCTGCCATCCTCTAGAAGTATTTGTGAGCCTATCACAAGCAAAAGCCCTGTTGGCCGGGGATGGTGGAAGTTGTAATCCAGTACGTCGGAAGGGCACCAAGCTTGGAAAGCTGAGCTGGACAGAGAACCAAATCAATATTTTTTCATATCTTCAACCCCCAGTTCTTAAGCAATGTCAAGAAATGCTTGCAGTTAAGTTACGGCTTTAGAATCCTCTTGAAGTTCAGCCCCTTACAGTTTTAAAGCATTTATTTCTCCCTTTCCTGCAGAATTACTTGGCCCAAGGAGTATTCAAAAAACCTGATGGGTGGCTAGCACTCAAGAACCTGCCTTCTAGGAGGTGAATTATTTATTTATTTATTTATTAAACCGTTTTTATGCTACCCCATTCACCGAAGCCTCGGGGCGGCTTACAACAATTAGTTAAATAATTTTAATTAAAAATACAAACATTAAAATAAAATACATGCAATATAAAATAAGCCGCCCTGGCCAGATAAAATTCAATAATATTAACATTGAACATGATATAGCGGCCATCCCAGGATAGATGCGTTAGGGCAGTGGTGGAGAACCTCCGGCACGTGCGCCACAGCGGGCATGCGGAGCCCCCTCTGTCGGCACGCGAGCCAAGTCGCCCCAGCAGCCGCGCATCGGATAACAGCCCGCATAGGGGCCATGCGCATGCTCAGAAAGGAGTAGCGGCACCAGGCGATGACGTCACGAGCCGCGACTCACTCGCTGTGACTCACCCGAGTTTTCGCATGGCTGGTCAGCGCCCTGCCAAGGATGGATGGATGGATAAATGGATAGATAGATAGGTACATTTGCTTGGACTGGCTGTTTTCAGGTTTTATTGCAGTGTTGACACTTTGCGATAAATAAGTGGGTTTTGGGTTGCAATTTGGCCACTCGGTCTCTAAAAGGTTCACCGTCACTGCATTAGGGACTTTTCCAAACTCCCTTTACTGCCTCTCTGGGCGGAGGTATGGCTTGAATTCAGGATGGCGCAGGAGGGAATTGTGCCTCTCCCCAAACGCAGGAGCCTGCTTTGGGAGTCCCGTTCAGCTCTGCAGTTCGCTCTCATCCCGGTGCTGGAAATGTGTCCTGTGCCTTCCTCCTCATCTGTGTTGCGACCCACACCACACAGTGGGGTCAACCCCTTACTGGCGTGCAGTCTACTTTTATTGTTTATTGTTTATTACTGGCAATATCTGTATTCTGCTTTTCAGTTGCACCACGTCCCAGAGTGGTTTACAGTCCGCTGTCGCTGCTGCTGCTTCATTCGTGACTTCTGTTGTTTTCTTAGTTTGCTTTACTTGGGTGGTTCTAAATATTATTGTGTTTCCATTTTGATTTGTTGCTTTCTTAAAGCAGCTTTTGTTCCCAGTTTTGTGCCGTTAAAATAGGGGTGTAGAACACCCTCAACTTTTGAGATATCTCTAATTTGTTGCATTCTTCTGGCTGAACAGAAACAGCATATTTTATCATGATTTATTTTATTCTGTTTATATCCTAGCCCAGATGCCACGGAGCTCAGTCCATGGTTGTCTTCCCCTGCCTCCTTTTTATTTTTCAGAACAGTGCTGAGAGTTAGTTTGAGGCTAGAGTCCTGCCCCACAGCTTTCTACCCTCTCTCCATTGCAAAAATGTCCTTGTTGACATGCTTGCTTTCAGTCAAGATTCTTTTAGTTTGAGGAAATGGTTCCAGAGAAGGGAGTCAGGGGAATTTTGTATTAATGGTGGGCCTGCCACTTCCCTTTGGCACCCAGGAACAGCCTTCGGGTGGCCAGTCAATTCATTTTTGTTCAGAATTTGCCCAACTGGCATCTCCTGGTCCAAACACCAACTCGCACATAATCTACAGTTGTGGTCTCTGGGTGCCGCACTTGCGGTGTGATGGGTGGAGCCCCTGTCTCTGGTGCATTGGACAGTGCCTCTTAAAATGCATATATTTCCAGGAGAGAGAAGAAAGTGTCAGTTTCGATGATGCACCCAACTGATACCCCCATTTGGAAAAGTGTTGACAAGAACATGCATACATTTTATGTGAAATACAAAAGAAAGTTAGCAGTCTGATACAGGTGTGAGATAGAATGGATTTTGAAGTGGAATTTGGAGAACGTCAAAGGTTGTGCACACGCCCTAACTGGTTGTGAGCTCAATCTTTGCACCCCAGTTGACTAGATGGACTTGAGTAGCTTTTGTGGATCTCCCATGGGCTGCCTTTGCCAGGCAAGACAAAGAATTCAGAAGAAAAGAGTGCGTTCTTGCTCTTGTAGAGCAGGCAGATAACAAATGTACACAATCTGGACTTTTTATCTACATACCCTCCATGTAGAGAGTCTTCTTGCATCTTATTTACCAGAAAGCTTGTCTTGTCCTAATGTATTTGATAAGAGCCAGATTGGAAACAACACTGGAGGGGGAAGGAGAAACCGTTCTACTTGAAGGATTCTGGAGAGTTGTGGGGAAGGTAAAGGAGATCGTAACAGTTCCTTAAATACAGGTGACCAGCCAGCGTTTCTGTCGGAAACGTTGCATCCTTTCATTCATTGATGTTAACCCTACCCAAGTGTGTCAGTCATTACTGTGTTCATGGAGGCAGTAAAAGAAGGCAAGGGGCAAGTTCCGACTAGTTCTTTTTATTGAGGCAGTAATGCTGAGAAAATGGGATTGGATATGAGACTCTCCCCTTGCAACTCATGCTGAGCAGTTCTTTGAAGGCGTCGGCTCCATCTTCCTGGCCTGTCCTGTCAGGTGTTTCATAAAGACCCTGTGTACAAGGACTATTAATACCTGTTCTGCTGTTACAGAATAATTTATAGCCATCATGAGTCAATATTTGATGAGTCAATATACCCATTTTTTTGATGGGTGGAACAAACCGAAAGATGCAGACTTGCCCAAGGGCCTTCTGTGAGCTACGATCTGCTTGGAGTCTACCTAAACCAAAATTCTTCTTTTTTTTAATAATAAGAAGCAAAGTCCCTGGACCAATCTGCAAGTCAAGGCATGAGAAAAGCCCTGCCGAAACATGCAAAAGAGCCATTTTGCCCAGTTCCTCTTTCTTTCTTTCTTTCTTTCTTTCTTTCTTTCTTTCTTTCTTTCTTTCTTTCACTCACTCACTCACTCACTCACTCACTCACTCACTCACTCACTCACATCTTGCCTTTTTTCCTCTTGCAAGGAATTCAGGGTGGCTTACATGCTCCTTTCCTGTTTTATCTCCTTTCGAGAGTCAGTTGCTCGGGAGTCCACAGCGATGAGGAACACTAGCAGTCCAATGCATCTGTAGTAGAGCAACTTGGGGAAAGCTGGCTCAGTTCCAGGACCAAGCTTGGCCCAGAGTTTTTCTAGGGTGTTGTTGGATGATTGCACTGGCCTGTTTTCAGAGGGTTGCTGGCTGCTGCCTCTCAGCCCCCCTGAGCAGTACTGCGCAACCTGTCCTCAGGCACGGGTTCAAGAAGGTCCTTGAGAAGCTTTGTGCTCAGGTGCAGGCTTGGCCACATATAAACAGGCAAGACAGGGGCACCGTACATTGAAAATGCATCTTTCCCTTTCGAAATGGCTAGGCCTGGGCCCCAATTCTTTCCCAGTGTATTTTAAAAGATAAAGTTGCTGTTGATCCATGCCAGTTCAGTTGTTAATGTTTGACTTGGTACGTGTGTCTTTTGTACTCCTGCGAAAGCCTTCCGTTCTGTCCCTACTAGTGCTTTAGGCCCTGAAATACAGTTTGTCAGAATGGTTATTAAACAAAAGGAAACTGTTTTTATCTTGGTATTAGCTGTTACCAAGATTAGTTGCAGTAATTTTCCTGTTTTTGACATTCAATATCATCAGGAGGTAATGTTTCTGTTTTGATTCTAAAGGGAGAATTGTCTCAGTTAAGTAAATGTTGGTAATTGAAAGTGGGGCTGCTGCCTTTTTGCAGGTACTTGTTCCCACACTTTCAGAAATCTGCACAGGTGTTTTCCAGCATGGAAGATAAAGCAACCGGGTTCATGTATAACGCTCACCCATGGCTTATTCAAATAAGACTTTGGTAAACTCCAGCTTGTTGTGCTGTGCAAATGCCTTGTTGATCACAAGCAACCCAGAAAGATAATCTGTTGGTTGCTATTGAGTGGAGAACTCTGTTTGAAACGGGTTGCTGTTACGTGTGAATCCAAAGCCATGGGTAGTTTCATCAGGCTGTGCAGACGGTGAGCAACAGAAAAGCCAGTCACTTTACGTGTGAGTCCATAGCACTGCAAAGGCATTCGGGATTCACAGAGGAAGCAAGCAAAGGAAGAAGGAAACAGACAGCCGAAGCATTCAGAAAACAAATTGTAGTGCGGTGGAAAACTGCACATCAGCTGTGAAACCTCCAAGCAGCTGATGTCTGGGGAAAGGGCATGGATCCAAGGGAAGGGGGAAGTTCAGAGGGCTGAGCGGGGAGCTCAGGGGAGCCACGCTTGGCGTCTGGCCCTGTGGTTCTCCACCCTGGTCTGCTCTGAGAGTAGCGATAGAGCTGCTGAGCTGAGGAGGAAGCATGCCTCCGGTTGCACATTCTCCAAGCCCTGCTCCTTCCTCCGCACCGTCCCCTTTCGCGCCAGTGAACTCCCGTTCTTTATCTGCTTTGGCCGATGCCTGAACACCGTCCTGTGTCAGCCCTTTGCCAGTTTCAAGGACTCCCCCCCCCCCGCATTTGTCTGCAGTAGTTCCTACTTTTGGCCGCCCTCTCTGTCCCCCACCCTCCACTCACACTTACTGCACCCACTTTACAAATATAGGAAGAGATGCTGCGAAGCGGCGCTGCGGCCAGGTTGACCCCTTTTCGTTTGCTTGGCTTTTCCAGGAAAAAGAAAGGAACGCTAGGAGAAAGAAGAAAAAACCCCCCACCATCCAAACCAAGGAAGCTGCCTTCCCCCCCGCAGCTGAAGACGAGGAGATGGGGCCAGATGGGTCAGGCACCAGTGGCAACGAGGAAGAGATGGCCGAGGAGGCGGAAGGTAAGACGCTCCCCCAGGGCAGAGCTGAATCTCGTGGTCCATTTGAGGTAGGGAAAGAGGTAAATCGGCAACTGTCTCCTGCTGTGGGAAGTGGCGTGAGAGGCTTTCTCCGTAACCCGGGAAATGTCACTGCTTCTGTGTGTCTGCAAGAGCAGCTACCAGCAGGGCGGAGAGGAACCAGGCGCCCCGAGGCTGTGCGAGGGTGGAACCTCGCACGGTGCCGGAGATGCAGAAAAGCTGACATTTGACTGCCCTCCGTCGTGCCGGCACGGCAAAGAGCCCATCTCGAGCGCAGAAATGTGTTTTGTTCGCCAGGTCAGTCTGGGAATTTCTTAATTTCAAGGAAGCCACGGAGAAGCCCAGCCATTTGAGGGAGCGTGCGTCCTTCCCAGGAAGGATGGGGCCACCTCAGCATTTTGCCCTTGGAAAAGTTGCTTCGCCTCGATTCAGATTCCAGGCTTGTTTTCTGTTTCTCAGTCCATTGTGAATTGCTGTCCTTTCAACTCTCCCGATGACGCGTTTCTCTCTCGTTCATGGTCCAGATATAAACTTGGGTCTGCCCTCAGCGAAAGCAACCCCGAATCCAGCCCCCCGATTTGCTCGCTGTAGCATCTGTTAGTACTTTCCCGTGTAGTGAAAGCGCAGCACGGCATGTATTCGCACCTGCATCCAGTGACTAGTTGCAACAGGGGAGGAGAGAGGCCAGGTGCTGCGATCACACAACACAGAGAGTGTTACTGAGGCGGCGATGGGGAGCTCCATTCACAAGCGCTGCTCATTACCACATCGCGTTGGTCCTTTGTCAGCAACATGGGTGTGCTTGGAGGTGTCTCCATTCCAGACAAGTTATTTGAGGAGAGAATGAGAATTCAGCATGAGAAGAGAGAGTCAGAGAGAGCTGCTGGTAGGAGAGAGACAGGGGAGAGAGAAATGGGAGTCAGAGGCTGAAATGAATATTGTCGGCCATCGCTGTTTCTCAGGAGCAGAGCCAACAGGCTGGGGGAAAATGCATGTAATTTATAACAATCACCCCATTTAACTTCTGTGGGAGAGATTTAATAACTTAACAACCCCTGCCTGCCCCCCTCCAGGCACTGGAGAGAAGGGCTCATGGCACACGCAATTGGAAATCTTTTCAAGCCAGTGTTGGAAGTGACTCATTACAAAGCAGTTTCTAGGTACATCTTTTGTGCCGAAGCTGCAGGCATGACTCAGAGATGCCTGGTGGAGAAAAGTGGGTCGCGTTAGCTTCGATTTTAAGGATCCCCTCACCCCACAGACGCACAAGTGTGCGCGCCACGAGGCGGATTGTTTGACGGGATCGGGTGCCTCGCAGCTTGCGGCTGCCTCAGTTCCTCATAACGTAAGGCCAGGCACGGAGATGGCTGTCTTATCTAGAGTGAGGTATTGAACTGAGCAGACCTTTGAGCCAAGGTGGCTGAAATGTCACAGGAGCAGAAATGTCAGGTCAGCCCTTCTGCCTCAGCAGTTTATCATTTGACATTTGGGAGGCATTTGGTGTGGTGAATATCAAGGGTGTGTGTGTGTGTGTTTGTGTGTGTGTTTAGCAGAGCTCTGAGATGGTTTCATCACACCAGCGTTTCTCCACCCTTTACATTCTTCCCTATCAGCTGCTGCTTGTCATCGATCCGCATCTCAGAATTTTTTCAGTCACCCAACCCCAGAATTTTTCTGCCTTGAAAAAATAAGTGGCTGAGTTGAACCCCAAACCCTGTGACCTTTTCCCGAGTTAAAAATAAAGATGGGTACATACTTTTCCCCACGGGAGGGTTTTAGCTAATTCCATCCCAGTCTAAATACTGTGAATTCCTCCCTCATTGTCTGCTTTGGGAAGGACTTGGGTGGCGGGGGGGCAGGGGGGGGAGAGCTGTTTTTCGCAGATTCATGGCAAGTAAATAAACTTCAGTCATGTCTGGAATTTGGGTGGAGAAGCCAAAAATGTGAAATGTTTTGAGATTTGCCCAGACTGTGTGGATACTTTCCCCCTTTGAGTTGGTTCAGTGTAGCCCCCAAAAGCACTTTTGCTGCCTTCATGAGATAGGATTTGTGGGGAATTCCTGATTTGCCTGCCCATTGTTACAATGCATTTTAATTCCCTCCCCTCCCCTCCCCTCCCCAGCTAGCTTATTTTCAACCAAAATCTCCTCAGACTGCTAACGCTCCCTTTATAGTCAGATCCCTTAACACCTGGAAATTTCTGAATATGTTGCAGAATATGGTGAGGTCATCGCCCTCCTCCCAGCAGCCAAGAATTCTGGCTCCGTGCCTCGGTTTCCCCTCCAGTTGCAACAACACTTGTTGAAACCTCCATTTTAAAGCGCACACGCAAATTCACTCCATCATCCTTTCAGTTCCTTTCTTGGATGGGATCCCAGAGTCAGGGTGGAGTATGAAACTCAGTCCCCTTTCTGCCTCACCAGAATTTAAAATCCTGTTATGAGCCAGAAAGGATGTATAAAGACACACACTATAAGATTTTCTTCCCCTGTGCCAAAAAGTGCAGTTTTTTCAGCATGGTCCTCATGCATCCCACACAGAGGTTCTGCCCCTGCCGAGAACCTTCCGGAGCGAAGGAGCAGACTTGCCCCTACCTGGACAGCCCCTCCCGCTCAGTTCCTCTTGGGCAGGGGTTGGATTTCGCAGCAGGACGTCCGTCTCTTGCGATCTGTCCATCCATCTCTCACAGGACAAGGTCCTGCCCTTGGTGGGCCCTCCCTGAGGAAGTCAGGGCTGCATGGTCTCCCCCGCAGTGGGGGCAAGATCCGAACCACCCAGCAGTGGGTTCGGGAGGCCCAGTGTGAGTCCCCAGCAGGGAAGCCGCTGCTTCCCTTCCAGGCAGGCTGCCGTCTGCCTGAGCCGAACCCACCTGATTTGCCCATGGCCACCAGTTGGGCCACTGAAATGCTAACCTGGCCACGTGGGAGCCACACATAAGAGAAGAAGCTCCAAGCAGGCAGGGTCATTTCAAAGCTGCCCTATTTAGCATGGTCCCCCAAAGACCCCCCCCCAAATACCAGTGGGCCCGTAGGCACCTCTCTCAGAGACCTCCAGGCTCCTCACATCTTCTGATTTAAATTGTATGTCTTAAAATGTTTAGAATTACTCTTGTTGTTTTCACTGAGAAGCTGGCCCACTGCGTCATCTTGATTTAGATTCAAAAGAGTGGCATGTGGTTAGAAGCTTAGGTACCATCTCTGCTTAGTTCTTGGGGTTTTGGGGGGCAAGTTAATTTCTTCTAGGCTCACCAGTTTGTCTTTTGGAAAAAGAGTGTTTTCTGACCACCCCCATAGAATTTACGTTATGAATGGGGAAGCCTTTTCCCCTGATCACCCTTAAAAAGCTCCAACTCATCCAGCTTGTTTGCAGACAAGGCATGTCCAGAGAGTGGGGACGGCTTTCTCTTCTTACGGAAAAAATATCAACATGGCAGGGCTGTGACAGGGCATCCTGGAGTTCTCCATACCAACGTAAAGCTTTTAAAGAAATGGCAACCCTTCCAAAAGCACGGGTATTTCTGTTTTCATCAGTTTTGGCTAAGAGTGGCAACTTGGAGCAGTGGTACCAAAGTAGTGGAGACCCCCCCCCCCCCGCCCCGGCTGTGCCCTTTATTTGTAAGATAGAAACTGTCCCTGTCTCTATGAAATTCTAGCAGTTGCAGCTTTCGGTTTTTAACTCTCCATTGTCCCATGTTTAAGCTACGGTGGTGCATTTTTAATGGTTGTATCTTCTCCTGCTGATGAGCGCAGGGTTGATTGCTTTGACAAAAAATTCTGAAGCATAAAATGGCTTGAACTGCAGTCCTGTAGCGGCTTCTCAGGGTGGCAAGATGTTTGTTTGATATGGCTCGCCCTGCCAATCAGCCGTTTCTTCATATAACACTCAGAAATCCTTTTTGGGATGTTTTTGCAGAACTGTACTGATAATTGTGAGCACTGTTCAGTGCATGTGTTGCTTCTTTGTCCATAGGGTGAACCGGGCCGTTTTTTGCTTGACATTAACCACCATCAGAAAATTGTAAATAGATCGTTCCAGGTGCATCAGTGCTTGAGGTGGGAAGTATCTCACTGGATGATTACACACCCAGTGATAAAAATATAACAGTGAATTCAAGCAATTGCTTGCTTATTCTTTTTTTTCAGGGCCCAAAGTCTCTTGTCTGAAGTGGCTGCTTTCCCTGGTCTAATGGATGAGAACTGGCCTTGACACCGCTTACTTTAAAGAGAGTTAGAATGCTTCTCATTTAAAATACGAGGCAGTGCACACATTTATCACTCTGATAATTTTCTGTTTGGTCTTAATAGTTCAGTTGAATGCTGTACTGTGGTTTTACCACCTCACTCCAAACAGGAAATTTAAGCTGTGCGCAGTGTTTCCCTCTTCCACACAGCGCTTGCAACCTGCTTCTCAATCTTTTGGGTAATTAGATACCTTTCCATTTTAGGGGAACGTGAGATTTCTGGAGAGTTCTGATCTTTTAATTATTTAACTGATCCTGTCCTGAAAGTCCCTGATAAGATTTGGAAAGCATTTTGGGGGTGCTTTTATTAATTTCTTACTGACCTTGGCCTGTTTTTCACTTCACTTTGATTACAGGCTTTTTAAAAAACTCAAAACTGGAAGGCTGTCTGGATTTCTTCACAGATGGGCTGATGGGAGGGTGTGTATGGTTTTTGTTTGGCAGCTTCGCAAGTGCTGCCTTATGAGGCACAAACAAGGAGGTCAAATTCTTTTTTCTCTTCTTTTTCTTTTTTGTTTTAATGGGTAGACTTTGATCTCTAGACAAAACTTACCAGAATTCCTCTGAGCAGGCTGGCTAAGTTTGAGAAGGAGATAGAGGGAGCACAAGCAAGAGGGAGGGATGGTTACAGCTTTCAAAAACCACATTTCAGAGAATACTATTTAAGAACAAAAACACATGGTTTCCATCTGCCTAACTTCAAACTTGTACACCTAATTTTTTAATTGGCTTTGGCAACAATTGCTGCTGCCTTCTCCAATTCTAAACTGCCCTGGGTGGGTGGAAATCAGAAAATATTTTAGAACAACAGAAGGACCTTCTTAGCACGGTTAACGGAGTCAATAGAGATAGATGGACAAAGCCATCTCAGCATCCATAAACAAATGCGAGCTTACCTTGGGTCATAACAATCCTGGTTCAACAAACCTTCAGTACTTTAAGCAATATATTTGTGCAGAGGATGGGGCCATGGCAGCACACTGTAAACAATGTATTTGTGCCAAAATCCAAAGCTCGCTCGCTCTCTCTAAAATGCTGCTATACTACGACCTTAAGTACCTGAAAAACCCAAGGTGCAGTTCTCTGTGTGAGCCCTTTCATCTGTCATCCCCTGCGAAGCAATTAGGGATATTATCAATCTGGATCTTTTAGCTTTGCACCATCCCCTTTTCGGATGGTTGAATGACTTGAAAACATGAGAAATGTTGCCCTTCCACAAGTGAGCGGTAATTCTTGCCCAGTTACAACTGTTCAGAGGCCGTGCGCCATTCCTCCGTCAAACCTTTTCTTGGGCTCTGATGGGGATGGGCCTCTCTGTTTTGTTCATGACTGTTTGTGCATGGCGGATGATACCAAATGGAAAATGCGTCTTTTTCTTTCATTTTAGTGGCCGTAAATAACAGCTCTGACACAGAGAGTCTTCCTTCTCCCCGACCTGAAGCCAAAGAAAGCACGGAAAACGGGCACAAACCGATTCCTGAAGTCAGGGATGATGCTGGGGAGGAACCAGTTGTCAAGATGGAAGAAGCCACTGCTTCTCCGGAGGCGAATCCCATCGCCCCGACCACCGCGACTGCGGAGGAGGCAGCCGCTGACCTGGCTTGTGGCGAGGAGAAGCCAAAGGAAGAACAAGCAGATGATGCGGTGAAAACAGAGGAAGTGGGCGAAAAACTCCCAAGCCCTGACCCCACCGAGGGTGACATCAAAATGGAAGAAGGAGAGGACTGTGAGGGAAAGGACTCAGCCAGCGACAAGAAACCGGAGAAGAGCAGCAACAGTAGCACAGAGACTGAGGCTGAGGGTGCACCCAAGGAAGAGAAGAAGGAGACCCACAAAACTGGGAAAACTGGAAGCACTAATACCGACAGCGACTCCAGTGCCACTTGTAGTGCCGACGAGATGGACGAACAGGATGCTGGGGACAAAAATAAGTAAGTGAGGGGCGATGGAAAACCTAGAGGAATGGGGTGGAAAACCTAGAGGAATTAAAAATGCATTCTGCGCGTAAGCAGAGAAAAACCTTGGTTGCTAGGGCACCTCAGACTGTAACCTTGGTACCTGGGAATTTGAAGTGGGCTCCCCCCCCCCCCCCCAGAACCGTGTGGATTACAGCCTTTGCATTCATCCAGCAGTGAGAGACAAACACTTGATCTTGCTGCTTGGAGCTGGAACTGTATTGGCTGCCGGAGAATATGGCTTCCTGTCCACCAGCAGAATGGTGTGCAGGTTTCCTTTACGCGCAGGAAACCACTTTGAATAGGCAGCGCTCTTTAGACCAGGGCCTTAAAAACTCCTGGCTGATCGCACAGCTGTGCTCAGTGAGTTTGGCACACGTTTCATCACTTGTGGAGCCTCGATTCTTCGAGCCTCACATTGTCGTGACAGTAATTGAAAAGGCAGCTTTACGGTGTTGATGTTGATGCTCTTCAGATCCATGTCCATCGTCGGGTTAAAGGAGGTCGTGTGTTGCACTCCGGCCATGTCCCTTATGCGTGGCCTCTTCCTGGTGAGGACAACCGTCTTACTTTCTCCAGCTGACAGGTGATTTGTGGGTTAGGGCGCAGCCCCGGTCAATTCCATTAAACGGCTCTTGGATCTGTCCTCACACCCAGCTGTCTGTCAAGCCGCAGCCAGCCACTGCAGGAGAAACGAGCCTCTGGTTCACTGGGGCACACTCTGATCCTTATGGTGGAAGCAGGCCAGCAACCCAAAACAAACAGTTAAGAAACAGCCATATTTAAACATGTGGGAAGATTATCAGCTCTCGTGCTTTCGGGCAGCTGCTTAAAAGCAACAGAGCATGTTGGCTCTGATTTAAATGAGGCAGTAAGATCCACAGATTTGGGGAATTTGACGAGACAACCTACCCTTCGGGAAGTGACGGGAGCTTCCACGTCATTCAGTGGAGGGTGCAGGAAGGCGCTTCTCCATCCATCCCCTCCAGGCAGCCTGTATGTAGTTTTCGGAGAAGGCCCCGTGTAGACCCTTGGCTTAGCTCAAAAAGCATCGAGCCACTTTCAGGATTAAGTCCCTTCCCCTCCGCTGCTTCCAGTCCAACACATTTCCACCGCCACCTCTGCAGTGGCTACGACCCCCTTTTTGATGGCTTGCATTCCCCATGCCGTCAATTCCAGGTACTTTGGCTCTCTGGAGGGTCTGTAGTTCTACCTGTTTTGGCTATAGGATTCTTTCCTTACATCCAGGCCTTTCCCCTGCTCACCCCATAAGATGACCTACATTCCAGGCTTCCCCTCTAAACATAAGAACCGTAAAAAGCCCTGCTGGTTCAGGGCAAGTGTCCAGGATCCGGTGGACTTGAAGTAAAGGCCAGCTGTGAACACATTTGGGAAGCCCAACTCCAGGGGTTGAAGACAACATGAATCTCTCTGTGGGTTTGTTCCCAAAATCTGCTACTTGGCCCCATCTTGCCACTGACGTCAGAGGTCCTCTTTAGCTCCTGAGGCCAGTAGGTGTGCGAAGACTTCTCCTCGTGGCAGGAAGGGTCCACAGCGCCGTCATCTGATGTGATGAAGACCTGCCGGCAAAGAGCCGGCAAAGAGCCACCTGGCGAAAGCAGCAAGAATCAAGAGCAGGCACATTTTGCCTTGTGGGGAGGCCCCAAGGAGAGCAATGGGATGAAGTTCAGGTCACAGGAGTGGCACTGGAAGTCCTTCCTTGGCGGCGTGCCATCGTCTTGCAGGTCTTGCTGGCTATTGCCAAGGCAAAGTTCAGGTAATAAGAGCTCGTAGCTCTTCCCAGCTTAAAGAAAGTCCCCAAAGATAATTATCTTTACATATATATTTTATAAAGGCAGCTGGCAGTGCTAGGAATGAAAGTTCAGCGGAGGGTCATGCTAAATATAAACGAAGGCAGAAGGCCAGACTGCAGGCATAAGTTAACTATTATCATTTCACCGCTGAAGGAGAAGTGGGGGCCGTGCGGTGAACACGCAAGCGAGACGAGCAGAACCCATTTCCCATTTTCTTGGGACCTTAAAACATCCCAAGGTACCTTGGACAGTTGAACCGGTTACTCTTTCAGCCGGGTACCCAACTTGGCTGAGTTTCCATCCCTGATGACAACCCTGCCATCTAAATTCTCAAGCCGTGATGTCCGTGTTGTTACCCACCAGCACATGTATCAGAGCAGCAAGACCTGGAATCGCCCGGTCGTTGTGGTCTCTTGGGGGTCACTTGCATGGGCTCTGAGCTCGCATGTGGGAATGCCCAGAGAGCCATGGAACAGGACCACAAGTATCGGTGTCTCCAGCTGTTTCATGGGCCTGCCCAGTGGGAGTAGCGCGAAAGCTCAAATGTCTTGCAGTCGTCTCCCGGATTAAAGTTGTTCAAACCCCAGCTGGTTTTTTTCAAGGTGAACATGGATTTACTGATCGTCTAGACCAGTTCGTCAGGTGTGTCCCCAATGTTTTGCCTCTGCCACCCCCTTTCTTCTTGGGCAACAATCCTACCATCCCAACACCTCTCTCCTTCTATTAGGTCTGTTGCTCTACTGCAAATTTTGAACAACCCATCGCCGCCCCTGGGAGGAGCAGTACTGCTCTAGGCCATACTTCCCCAACCTGGAACCCTCCAGATAGGCTGGACTACAACTCCCACTTCAGGATTACTGGAGTTGTAGTCCAATCTGTCCGAATGGTGCCAGGTCTGTAGAATTAAGGGACTTCTCGCTTTCGCAGCAAGCTCGGATTTACCGCACCGTGTAAACAAATCCAGGATTGAAGCCAGCTAAGTAGCAGTAATTGGGCAGCCGGCATCATGTGGGCAAAGACCCGCCTATGACCTGGAACTGAAAAGAGGCTGGCAGCCAAAAGGGTCACAGGTCTTGCTGAGGCAATCAGGAGGACCTCAGGCTCCGGTGCCTAGATGAAAACACAGGGCACGCTTCCAGGGACCGCCGGAACTGCCCTCTGTTCCCTATTTTAGGGATCGGAGCTCCAAGTCAGCATGCAGGGCTTGCTGGCTCTTGGGCCCCTTTGCTGGGCCTCTCCCAGTGCACTCTCAGATTACCTCACTTTAACTACCAGTGGGTTTCAAAGCCAGGCTCACATCCTCCCGGTTTATTTTAGCTAGTTATTTCACTGCCTATAAATTTCAAGGTCACTCAGTGTTCAAGCTCGGGGAGACAAATACGCATGGCCCAGTCACGTGAAGGGAATAAAATCCGTATCTGCCTTGTGACCCCTTTCCCTCTTCGGCCGCGTCTCCAAATCAGGCCCCCAGTAAAGGCCACAAACAAACCAAAAGCCACACGCTCCTCACCCACAGGTACTCCAGAGACGCCTCAGCCGGCTCCGGAGCCACCTGGGGCTTGCTTCCGAGGGAGTGGAGGATGTCGTAAGACATCTTCCCCTCTTCTTCTGCTTTTGAGTGGGCAAAAGGGAGGCTTGTTCGGTTCGGTTCGGTTCATACATTCCAGGGAGCAGCTGGAAAATGGAGCTCACCCACCGGGGCAGCCATGGCTGCGGGAAGCCCGTGTGGACGCAGGCCTCCTTGGGGAATTGGAGACTCTTTCCCAGTGCATCCGATACGTGGGAGTCTCTCGCAATCTCTCCTTGGTCCATTCTGGTTTCTCATCCATTTGGAGACAAGTGGACTGATAAGAGCCCAGGGAGCCTTCCGCACAGGGGATTCTAAGGAATTGAGTGTCGCCATTTCTGCCTTAGCACCTGCACACTATCCAGATGGTGCAAGAGATGCTCTGGCCACTCCGTCTTCGCTGGGACGTTGGTCCGCACATGCATGGCAGGCAAGTTCAGCTTGAATGAAGCAGGGTGGGCTCGTGAGGCATTCTCCCGTTGTCTCTTCTGGCACCGCCCCCCCACACTCGCTGCCAAAGAATCGCCCCGTTCAGCTGGCCATTTCCCTGCACGTTCACTGTAAGAACACAGGAGTCGCCACGCTGGAGCGGATCCGGGCCACAGTGCCCCGTCCAAGCGGGAGCCAGCCAGCTGCCCAAAAGCAAAACAAGCAGGACATTCGTACAGGAGCAGGGCCCCCGACACCCATTTTCCCCAGCAGCTAGTATACCTAGGCAAACTGTCTCTGATGTACTGTAAAAAAGTTTTAAAAAGTTTTCAATAAATAAAAATAAAATAAAATGTACTGTAGGTAGTCATCGCCTTTGGAACTAGTAGCCTTACCATTCCTGAATTCACCGAATCCCCTTCTAAAAGCACCCAAATTAGTGCCGTCGCTGCCTTTTATGGCAGTGGTGTCAGCCACGTGGGGGGGGGGGCAAGTGCTGAGCTGCCTAGCCCCCTGCCCTGGCAGATGCTCCGCGCGAAGCCCTGACGCACAGTGTGTGGCGCCGGCTTTGCCGTGCGAAGGGGTGAGCCTGGCAGTTCCTCCGGCGCATACGCGCACTGCCAAACCGCTGAGGAGCCTCACAGACCATCATAAAGTGCGGGACGCGATTCTTGCACGGCCCCCTGTTGAGGGACTCTTCTCATGCAGGTCAGCTGGAGCCTTTTGGGGTGAGCGCGCGCGATCCCGGGGCATCTGCTGCTTCGACGTGTCTTACCTCTGCTGAATAATCTCTCTGCCGTTCATATTTCGTTCACAATGCAAGGCGGATTGGCGCGTCAGTGTGAGGAGGCTGCCTGTCCCCAGTGCGCAAAAACCGCCCTAGAGCATGGTGGGCTGTGGGGTTGCGGGTGTTGTCGTGCCACACATCTGGATGGCACCAGCTTGGGGAAAACTGTTCCGGAGGGATCGCGGCAGAGATCAGGGGGCTGTGCACATTTTGAGAAGGCTTCTTTCGCCGTGCCTGGCTTCCTCTCCCGTGGCACGTGGCTTCTTTCCGTAAGAGTGTGCAAAGCAGCGCGTTTCAACACTAAGGGCAGCGTCCACCCAGCACCTCCCCCCGAGGCTGTTGCTGATGGCGTGTTTGGGGGGCGGCCCCCATGCCAGGAATCCTCCTCCTCCTCCGCACCTCCCCACCCATCATCTTGACAGGCGTTTTGCTAATATGGGAAAATACTCCGTTGTGAAGTGGATGGTGCAGAAGTCATGCAGCTGTGAGCCATTGGTTTGTTTTGTCTCTGGCTGTTTGGCTGCTGAGCATGTAAACCGGCCAAACGCCCCCACCCCAACACCGGGCTCATGAAGCCTCTTCTTGACTTCCAGATTCCTCCTGTGTCCTTGAACTCCACGCTCTTCTGCTGCAGTTGATTCAAATGCCGCCTTTTGTCTCTTCCTCCTTCTCTCCCCCTCTCGCCACAGCTGAACCCTCTCTCTCTCCTCTTACGTAGCAGGACGCGATGTGAGAACAGAACCGAAACTTTCCAGCTGGTGGCCACTTGGCTCCCTCAGCCGCAGCGCCCCTTTCAGCATTAAAGGCCTTTGACTATGCTTGGCTTTTCATGCTTCACCATATTGATCAAGCGTCTCCTCCTCCTCCTCCTCTCCTTCAGAGGCCAGTTTGCCCAGCTTGAATCACAGCAAGAAGCCACAGTAAATTGATCCTCCTCCCTCATGCCAGTTCTGGGCCACCTAATTACCCCCGCAAGGCATGACTTACTGTGATGTTCAAACGCGGCTGGTGTGGTTAATACCTGGAACAGGCCGTGGGTTGTGGATGGCTTGTTAGCCACCTCAACCAACTCTCTTCACTGGGTTTGGCCAGCACAACAAGCTCTGGCTGGTGAAGATAATGAGGTAAAGGGAGAAGCACGTGGCTACCACTGTGGGAGGGATCGGCAAGCCACGGGGCTTATTCGCCACCCTTGTGGCATACGAACCTGGCCAGCGTATGCAGCTTGTCCGCTTGAGTCCCCCGGGCTCTCTTGTTCTTCAGTGACCTCTGAGAAGCTCCTGCCCTGCTTATGGCCTACAGAGGTCTTGAGCTGGGGTTGTGGGGGGAGCCAGGCTGTAATGGGATGCAGGATTGCGATGTGGTTGGCTTTGGTCAGGGTGGTTCCTAAGTCGCTCGATTCTTTCTTGGTGGAGAAAAGAGAAGGAAAGGAAAGAGAATATAGGTGATGGATCCCGTACAGCCTTTCCTGGCCTGGCAGTGAGGTGTTGGACTGCAGTTCCCATAATCCTGCATCCAGCATAGCTGCCCGGGGGTTACGAGAGTTGCATTCTAACATCTGGAGGACACCAGATCAAGGGAGATGAACCAGTGTCTCGCTGCTTTTTCCGAAGCAAAAGTTGCCTTATATCAGTCAGGGTGGTGGAGTGCTGTGGTGTCAGACCAGGACCGAGGAGACCTGGCTTCGAAGCCCCACTCTGGAGATGCGGTGCTCACTCCTCTCAGCCTGCTTGACCCTGCAGGGTCGCTGTAAGGATAAAACGGGGAGAGTCACACATGGCGCCTTGCGCATCTTGAAGGAAGACACCAATGTCATACCTTCCTTTTTGAGGGGGAAATGTTTTATTTGCCGGGTTTAAAATTCTGTGCTGCTCTATTTGAAACGCACAAAGCAGAAGTCAGTATTGTAAATGCACCGTCTGAAGCGCGAATTGCATGGTGGAAAGGGACGCTGCAGAAGGTGGGTGCTGCTGTCTGAGCACCAGGAGGCCAGTCTGTGCCACTGCTCCATGTTCGGGCCGCGCTCCGTTTGCTTCCTCATTGAAAGCATTTTTCAGTGGCCCTTTATCCTCGCGGATACCAGGGCAATGTACAATAAGCGTAAGCCAGCATATCTGGGATTGCAGCCCTAGCCAGCATAGCTAGGGGCAGGGGATGATAGGACTCGGATGTCTTTCAACACCTGGAAGGCCAGCCGCTTCCCATCCCTGCTCTGTGGCATCCTGGAGCAGCCTTCCAAACACGTCGTTTAGGTTCCTGCCAAGAAAAGCCAGCTTCTAAAGCACTGGTTTATTCTCAGCATGATTCCGGTCTCCCGATTTGTGCTTAATCTCTGCCAGTGGAGGGGCTGCCGGGAAGTGCCGGTCGCTGCACGGCCGCGGGGCCCACGGGCTCTGTACCGGGCCAGGGTGTGGAACAGCTGCGCTCAGCCGCAGGGCTTGTGTCTCCTTTCAGGCTGCTCTCTCCCCGGCCGAGCCTGCTCAACGCAGCCAGCGACGCCCGGCTCAGCTCGTCGCCTCAGAAGCCGATGGACCTGAAGCAGCTGAAGCAGCGAGCGGCCGCCATCCCACCCATTGTGAGTAGCACCCCGGAGAGCCGCCTCCCCTTGACTCCCACAGCGTCTGAACCCTGTGACGCCGGGGGTGGGTTCCTGGGCGACCGGGCCCTGTGGTGGGGGTGCGGCGAGTGGCCTGTGGAAGCCGCCACAGCTTGTCCTAAACCAGCGGTGCACCTGCCGTCACGTGGGGATGCGTCCCGCATGCGTTTGTCTGTCTGTCTGAAACTTTTCAAGCATCCCTTGCCACAGTCTCAGGATGGTTTAACAAGAAGACAGAATAGGATAAAACATAACATCCTAGTCAAATTCTTAACCCATCAACAATAAAACCCATTTTAAAAACAGTCAAACCTGAAAACATTGAGAAAATAAAGGGGTTTTAGCCTGGCACCAAAAAGAATAAAGTGATGGCGCCAGGCAAACCTCTCTGGGGAGCAAAGTCCACAATCGGGGCGCCACCACGGAGAAGGCCCTCCTCCAGGTAGTCACCCTCCTGATCTCCTTCAGGGAGGGCACCCGGAGAAGGGCCTCTGCCCCAGATCCTAAGGGGCGGGCAGGTACATATGGAAGGAGGCGCTCCTTCAGGTGACCAGGCCCTAAGCTGTTTTGGGCTTTATACGTCATCACCAACACCTTAAATTTCACTGGCCGGTCACTGCCCTTCCCAGTGACGATGAAGCGATCTGGCAGGCGTGCGGCTGTGCGGAGGCGCACCTGGTAGGCATGTCATGAGCAGAGCCGCGGGGGCCGGGAATCCCCTTCGGACTCGCTGTTTCTGTGCTTTCAAAGAAGGGCTCAAAGGGGCTGCGGTGCGTGCCAGTGCGCTGCGGCTGCAGATGCCACAATTTGCCCTGTTGTTCTGCTCCCCTCCACATCTCCCTGCAGATTTCGGAAGGCTTGCTCGAGGGAGCGTTGCAGAGCGGAAGTGTGAAGCCTTCGGTGCCTTATCATGCGCTGGCCCTGTACCAGCAGCAGATCACCATGGCACACGAGTCTGCCCGGGAAGACGCGGCCCAGAGCAAGGCGCTGCAGCCGCAGGCCGAGAAGGAGCCGCCCGCGAGCAACAGTCCCCGGGCTCAGAGCAGGAGCCCGGCTGCTGGGGACAAAGAAGGTGAGTGTGTTTGGGGGTCCAGGACGGGGTAGGAACTCGCCTCCGATGGCAGCCCCTAAGGGCCTTTGCACAGCCCCCCCCCCCCCCCGTCGCCTCTCCACAGACTCAGACAGGCATGGCTAATTGGGGGGACATCGTGTCTCGCTCGGCCCCGATCAGATGCCGGAGAGGCGGCCGAGTGCTCTCATTAGCGTCCCTGCCGGTGCATTTGGAAAGGGGCTCGGAGGCCTGGAGCAGGGCCAGGGCCAGGGGGCGAGCGGCTCTGCTCCACCAGGCCAGCTTCTCGCAGAGAAGGCTTTTAATGCTCGTCTGGAGCCATTATTTCTCGGACAATCAATGCTAATGTCCTGACTGGAAGGGCAAGGCTTCTTGTAAAAGGGCCTCTTGCTCTTGCCGTGGAAACAGCCGGGGCACCTAATGGGCAATTTGCAGCTTTCTGCTTCCTCCCCGAGCCTCCTGGGTATCGATAGCCAAACACTTGAGGAGCCGTGGCAGGTGGAAGCCTCGTAATGCCTCTGCAGAACCCTTTCACGTTGGGGGGGGGGGTCCGTGTTTCTGAATTCCTCGCGCTCGTGAGAGAGGGTGGAGATGGAGATGTCCAGTTCCCGCGATCTTCAAGGGATCTTTGCTTTTTCCCGCACATACTGCATGCACTCCTGGACCCATGCCTAGCCGCCGGGGACAAAGATTGGAGACAGAGTAAAATCTCGGAAGAGGGAAGAAGCTGCCTTTTGTCCCCCCCGCCCCCATTCTCCTGCTGGTCTTCTCAGGTGCATGGTCTGCCCAGACGCTCCATCGTGCCAGGTGAAGTGACATCGCCACCAGGGAGAGCTCTAGCCTACAGAATCATTTATTAGAATTACGTCCCACCCTTGTTTCCTTTCAAGGCGGCTTACATAGTTCTCCTCCTCCTCCTGTCAATGTTAGCCTCACAACAACAACCCTGTGAGGTAGGCTGGGCTGAGAGTTTGTGGCTGGCCCCGTCACGCAGTGAGCTCTGTGGCTGAGCGGGGACTCGAACCCAGATCGCCTGAGTCCCAGGCCCGTGCTCTTAACCGCCATGCTATGCTGGCTGTCGCAGGTGGGAACACAAAAACGCACGAGCCGACCCTGGGTTGAGGCAGGCCAGTGCTCCACCTGGTGGCTAGCTGATAGCCCTGTTTGGCTACTCTGGCAGCCCGCTAACTCATGCCCACCTACGTCAGGGGTCCCCAGTTCCTTTCAGGCCCAGAAGCAATTCCATGTCAAGCTCCTGGGGCTCAGCTTCCCAGGGGGCAGTGGGGTGCAGGCAGCAAGGGGCAGGGCCAAACTAGCAGCTCGTTTTAGCTTAAAACTGTTACTGAGGGTAACTAATCCTTAAGAGAGGCTTAGAATGGAAGGAAATGCACAGAAGACAACAGCTACCAAATGATCAGGGGCAGAGCAGGGAGTTTTGCCCCGTGTGCTTGAGGAGCAACACACCGGTCTGAGGGTAGGTGCTGGATTCGACCCTGTGTTCTTCTACCTGCGGAGCAGGTGCTCCTCCACTGAGCACCTGCTGCTGGAGCTTCTCTGGAGTGTCCTTGCGAAGGCTGCACAGGCATAAGGCCACGGGAAGCGGCACGCTGGCGTGTCCCGCAGGAGAGGAGAACTTGCTCCCAGGCCAAGAAGGCTCAGGCAGCAGAGTACTGGCGGATATAGGATTGGGGCTTCAGCAATCCTCGGGACGGACTCCTGATTTCCCCGAGCATCCGTCATTTTAGCAGTATAATTGTCGGGCATTTAACGGCTGACCTTCGAAATGAGTGGTAGTCAGAAATCCTTGTTTGAAATCATTTAGCAAATCCTGGAGGAATGGAAGGCGCAAATTCACTAGTAGGAGAAAGAGACTCAAGAGAAGCCGAACGAATGATACCTATTAAACCAACGAGCTCAAGCCTTCCTAATGCACATGATTCCCCTTTGTCCCTTTGCCATTTCCTTGCTGGGGGAGGGGCATATGCAGAGAAATTATATTTTTAGCTCAAGATGCTCTTAATTGTAAGATAAGATGATATTTCTTAGCTCGGAACTATCTTCGAGAAGAGAGAACGATCCCTCCCCAGTGATCCATGCACTGCCTCGGCAAACAGGCGAGGGGTCGTGGAAAGCACGGATTCTTCTTTCCCACTCTTCAGGTAGGGAGGGTGGTCTTCCCACTACCCACAGCTGCCCTTCTCCGGGCAAACGCGGGAGGGGGAAGAATCCTCTTCAGCAACAGGCCAAGCTCTGCCGCTGCCGAACATACGTTCCCAGACATCTTCCTAGGCTAGCCGTTGCCTCCTGCTCGAAGTGTTCCCCACCCTGCAAGTCTCTTTGCTACGTCTGTGTTCATCTGGAACGACTCCAGCCAAAGCACCCCCCCCCCCCCGTACCCGCACAGGCCCCCCGGCACAGTTTCCCCAGGGCGCGAAGGCCTTTTGCGAGGTTTGGGGGCCGGGAGCGTTGCCCGCTTGGCTCGCTCGCTCGCTCCACACAGATGGCTCTCACTTCTTTTTCCTCCGTGTGGTGCAGCCAAAGGCATGGCAGGGGAGCAGCCGAAGAGGGGGGTCCGCGATGTTGGGCCTCTTGGCTCTCTTTCCCGGTTTTATTTGCTTGGCAGCCTTCACACCCGCAATATGTTTCTTATTGATTTAGTCGCCCCTTTTTGCTCGGCTTTTCGAGAGCCGGTCGAAAGCCAAGAGCGTTCATTTGGATGACGGGTGGCATGAACAATGCCTCCCTTGCTCCAGCTTCGGGGAATTGATAAGCGGTAGTAGTAGCCCCCTTTCTGGGGTCAGTGCTATTTTATTTTATTTTATTTTATTTTATTTTATTTTTTAAGCCTGAGTTATGCCCCCCTCCTTTAATTCATGTCTGGGGAAGAGGCCATACCAAAGCAGCCACGTTTAAGACTTCAAAGAGTTTTCACCCCTGGTGGAGGTGAAATACCATCCAGAGACATGCGGTGCGCATCTTTTGCCGTCTGCTTTTCTCGAGGCCAAAGATCCATCACAAATAACGTATCTCAGGCCTAGCAGGCAGTTGCTTGTGCCTGGATCCAGGCCTGCTTTGAGCCTTTGCTGCCTCCCGTTAGGAATCCCCTGTTGTTCCCAACAGCGGTGGAAGCAAAACCACATGTTGCCGGAGCTCCTGTGCTCGCCTTCGGACTGCTGAGGCTTCGGCAGAAGCGGCCATAAAACTCTGGTGCTCTCCTCGAGCTCTCTGCAGTTCAGTTGCTGAGCACAGAAAGTCCCAGGTTCAGTTCGGGCACCCTCCGTTTGAAAGGTGGCAAGGCTGAGATGCCGGAGAGGCGCTTCCGTTCAGAGCAGGTGGCGTTCTGACTTGGAGAACTGGTGGCCAAGCTTCGTATCATAAGGCAGCTTCAAATATCCACCAAGTCGGAAAGCCACCGCCCCATCCATAGGGCATTCCCCGAGATTTGAACCGGGACTGTAGCCTGGCCTGTGCACACAGGGCTGAGCATGTGTTTGAACCCAGCCCCCCTCTTCCTCACCCCCTCTATTGGCTTTTATATGCATAAAATCTGCGTGACGCTCCTTGGAGAGTACAGAGCTTAAAATAGTTTAATCCAAGCCGAGTAGTCCTTCCAGGACCTTTGCTTGGATTAAATGAGACAGAGGAGAACCTCAGTGCACAGTTCTCCTCTTCTTTACAGTAAATATGGAATAAGCGCCCAGCTTCTCTTTAATTTGTACCAGGGCCTCGCACATGAGCCTAAAGGTAGGCAGAACTGAATGCATCGCTGCCCCGTCTTGCCAAAGCCCCACTTCCCCTGCATGAAGCAGAGCCTCCTGCTGAGGGGGCAGCTCCGTGCCTTGAGCGCGGGGGCAGCGTTCATGCCTGGCCGTCTCCGTGGGAGAGCCACGGAGAGGGCGGGAAGGCAAGCGCTGAGATCTGCCGCCCTTTTGCTGAGTGAAGCACGGGGAATTACCAGGAAAATATGCGCATGCCAAACAGTCAGAGCCCTCCGGTCGCTCGCTCCCTGCCTGTAAGCGGCAGCGCTCTCTGACGCGTCTCCCAACGGCTTTCGCGCCGTCCTTGAAGGTGAAGATAAAGGCCACGCTTCACCTCTTAAATCACGAAAGCCGGAAGGGAGGTGCCGGGGTAGTTTAGTCTCCGGGTTCTCTGACATATGCAACAGGCTTTCCGGGAGGAGAGTGAGCACCCATGGGGGAGGCACAAGCTCCTGGCCCCCTCGTTGCCCACTTTCGGGGCGCTGTGGCTGCACTGCGAGCCAGTTCGCCCCCTTCCAGTCAGTACGGTGGGGTAGCTCCCATGCTCCTCTAGCGGACACTGCCAGGGGCCAGCACGGCTGGTCACTCCTTTTGCAAAGCCGGTCACTCTACTGCGGGACTGCCTTCCCAGAACACAAAGACCTTTTCCTGTGGATCGGAGGGGGACCCTGGCCACCCCGTTCCCCTTTTCATGTCAGTTGCACTGGGAGCGGATGCTTCGCCCTTTGTGTCCCCTTGAGGAGGGCCATCGCTCAGCAGTCAAGTATGTGGTCAGCCCTGCGTTCTGTCCTCAGGATCCCCAGGCAGGACTGCGGGGGACGCACCTCTGGGGCGCTGCAGAGCCTTGTCCACCCTGATCCTAAATGATCCAGTGGTATGGCTCAGTGTGAGATCATTTTAAAGATTTGTATCCCAGCCTTATGTACCAACGGCTGTTGGGACAGAAAAACCGATAGAAACAAATCAAGAATAGAACGAAAACGAGCACTGCAGAGGCCAGAGCAGAGCAGCGGGATGCTGGGTCCTGGAGAGGGGCTTACTCTCCAGAGGGATCTTCTGAATCACGAAGACGCAGATCCCAGGAGGATCCTCCTGGACAAGGGCATGCGCGGGCAGCTTGCCTCGCCTCTGTCTGGGCACCTGACCTCGTCTGTAGGTGGCCAGATTTCGAGTAGCCTCGCCATGGCAGCATTTGCACAAGTAGGACAGAGCGTGTGTTTCAGCACAAATCCAGGTGTGCCCTTCCTGCTCTTGCGTCATTTTCTTGGCTTTTGTGGTGAGAAGCGCATAGGAGCTGAAAGGGCGGAACGACTGTTTGTGTGAACACGACCTCAGGCACAGTTCTAAGAACGCGTTCTGTCCAGAAGCGGGGATTCTCCGGGGGTGCGTCAGGGGTCGTGAGCTCTCTCTTGCTGCCCTTCACCTAAGCCATGAAGCGGCCGGGGGGGGGCGGGGCGAAGACTTGCTTCTCCAGCATGCCAAGCCCTTCGCATTCACGCCGCAAAGAAACTGTCAGGCCTCTTACTCCAAGAGCGCATAGCCTCGCTCGCTGATACCATTGTCAAGCAGCTCCTTTCGAGTGATGCAAGGTAACGCAGGCAGGGAAAGCTCTGTCGGTGCCTCTGGCTTTGCCATGGCCCGCAGTCACAGGGAAGCCATTACCGATCGTTCCACGGCATCCTGCAGGGAGCATCACAGCCCCACTGGGACTTATCCTCTGTCCCAGCCGAGGGGTTTGTGTAAGCACCAAGGTTCAAGAAGGAGGCCAGAAGGGTGCACAACGCCACCCCGGCTTTCTGCAGCCCTTCTGACTCCCGGCTGTTGGCTCTTTGTTTCTCCTTGCAGACAAGCTGGTGCATTTCACCTCCCTCCCAGAGGCGCAGAAGCTGGGAGAGCCTGGCATCACCCCCTGCTGGCCCCCCGTGCTCCCCTACCAAGGATCCGCAAGGGACGTGATCAGAACCACTCCGCATGCGGAACCCCACGTGTTTCAGTACAACCCCGCAGGTGAGGCTGGCCAGTTGAGGCCTGCGCGTACCTGGGCTCCTCCGAAGTGGCCTGGCACTGCAGGCACGAGCAGCTGGACGCAGGGAGCACGCGTCTGAGGCAGAGCCAGCCCTGCTTCAGTAGTCGGGGCAACTGGCTTCCTTCATTACCCCTCCGCGGTCCTGTTCCCCCTGAGCGTAGCAGAAATGCGCACAGTAGCTGTGCCAAATTAATTTTCCCAGCAACAGTATATTGTTTCGTGTCATAATGTAGAACATTTTGCAGTAGTTTGTTCTTGAATGGGCAATTAAGCCTCATTAGCTTTACCAAAGACCTGTTCCTAGCAGATGAAACTGGTTTTTTTCCTTCGTGCGGATCAACACAGCTGCTTCTAATTTCGGGCTCCCCTTGGGGATGTGACTGTGCAAACACCTGCAGTTCAGTTTTTAGCCCTGGCCACAGTTTGCAGACACGGTGCTGGTAGATCCATGGAATAGGAGCGTTGGTGAAATTAATCAGCAGAGTTCTGTAATTAGCAGCAGGGAGGGAGATATACAGTGTTAATGGCCCAGGGTCAGGACTGTTGGATGTGACCTGACCAGGCAAGGGCAGTTAGCCCTGTTCTGTGGCTGGTCCCCAGTGGCAGGCTCAGGAGGTCAACAAAACCAGGATTTGGGGGCCCCTGGTGGGTGGTGAGCTGACTTTGGCCAAGTGGGGCACAGGCGGAACAGGCCTGCCGTAGAAAGTTGGGTTAGAAGGAAGCTTGAGACACCAAGTAAAGAAGATCTTTGTTTTTTTTAAATAGCTCCTAATTAGACATCTCTGTTGCTGTCTTTTCCCCCTTTCCGTTCCTTTCCTTTCCTTTCCTTTCGGACGTAGGTCATCCGGTCTCCTTAAATGTGCATGAAAGTTCTCGACCCAGCCTCCAGCGGCTGACAGCCATCTCCAACCCTCCCCCTCTCATCTCCACCAAGCATCCCTCCGTTCTTGAAAGGCCGCTCAGCTCCATTTCACAGGTAAAGTTGTAGATACGGGTGCATAGAGAGTGGGTTGAAAACATGGCTTTTGGTAAGCAGGTCTTTTCTTGCAAGCCAGATGCTTTGGATTTCCCAGGCAATTAATGTCAAGGGAAGGATGGCACGAGGGAGTGAATGCCATCAGCATAAAGAGCACTTTCCAGAACTTAGCGGGCAGAATTCAGGCCAGTTCCTGCAGCAGAGCAATTCTCAGAGTGGGTCGGTATGATCATTGCAACCCACCATGGATTGCTGCACGTGAGAACAGCCATTTGGAATATTCAGCTCCTGGTAGGAGGTTTCCTTGGTTTGTTGTATCGTCCAGACCTGGGTGGCAGGACTGCGTGAGAGTTAAACAACCCTCAGATTACCCCACAACACATCATGGGTTATTTGAGGGTTGCTTAACTTTCAAACAACCCCTGCCTGGGTTCGCATGACACAGCAGGTTGTGGTTGCAACCAGTGGGCTTGCTCCTGCCCGTGGCCGCTGCAGATAGTTGTGCTTCCAAGGAAGGCTGTGTGAGGAATCTCCCTTGTGCAGAAAATCTGCCCGATTCTCTCATTCCAGCTTCCCAGACTCCGGCCCTCTTTGCAGCGGCCTGGACGCTGAGCTTCGGGCGAGTGCACACAGGGATAACCAGGCACCACTGGGCCGGCAACAGTGAGCGAGGGCGAAGGCCAGCTAGTGCGAGTGGCGGTGGGTGGAGGTTGCCAGTTGTGCAGCTGGGTGTTCGCGACTTCCTCTTGGCTCAGCTTGCCTCGTGGGGCCAGCCTGAGCATAAGAGGAAGGCCGCAGGTGCTGGAGAGAGGGATTCCGGAAGGGTTGGTCCCAGCCCTGGTCTCCGTGAACCAGGGTGGGCTGCCGTGATTGAGCGAACCGCGTCAGCTGGGAAGGCGAAACGCCACTGCTGCTTTGTTGAGCCGTAACCCGTAACGGGCGCTCTTTGGTGTGCTTCCAGGGGGTGCCGCTGCAGCTCCACACTCCGTTCAGCTCCGAGCATGCAAAAGTCCCCATCGCCATGGGCCTGCCTTTGACCATGGACCCCAAGAAGTTGGGTAAGGAAAGAGGGCTGGGCACCCGATGCGAACCTTGGCAGGAGGAGCCGGGGCCGGCGTTCGTCCGTCTGAGAAGCGCAAAGCGGGGCTCGAGCCAAGCTTCTCCTCCAGGGCAGTAATACGTGGTGTGCTCCTGCTTTGCAGTGCCTTTCCCGGGAGTGAAGCAAGAGCAGCTCTCTCCGCGGAGCCAGGCTGGTCAGCCTGAAAGCTTGGCTGTGCAGACGTCCCAGGAGAGCTCCGTCCTCAGGGGTAAGCCAGTCAGAGAATGCGGCGGTGCAGCTCTCCCACATCACATGCAGCTTTGTGCGATTTGTGAGTTGCGTCCCAGCATCTTCGCCAACACTGGGCCGGTTTCTGGGGTTGTGGTGCCCCTAGGAAGCTTCCTGCCCTGAGCAATTGCGAGAACCACCCCTCGGGGAGATGAGAGGGGGGCAACCAGGCGAAGGGCCTTTTCTGCTGCTGCTCCCCATCTTTGGAACTCCCTCCCCAGGGAAATTTGCCTGGTGCCATCTCTATTTTCCTTTTGGCACCAGGCGAAGACATCTTTTTAGGATTTTTTTTTAACATTTAGCCTGCATGCTGTGGCCCTTTTTTATTGTTTTTATAGATGTTTAATTCATTACGTTTTAATTGGTTTCAGTGTGTTTTTACTCTGTTAATGTGTTTATGCATTGTAAGCCTCCTAGGGAGACCTCGGCCATTATAGGCGGCCTATAAATACATGTAAATAAATAAACAAACCCACGATGCGGTTTGTGACATTATGTGAGGCTTGAGGCCAGTGAGCCCTCTGTGCAGATGGTTCAAATAGGAGAGAGACTGCTAATTCCCCACCTGAGAACCTACAGAGCTGCTGCATTCATAGAAATTTTTATTTCCAGTCTGAATATGCTTCATCCTAGCGCTAAGCATTCAGTGCATTTATTCTATTTTTGCCCTGCCATTCTGAAGCCGACCAAGGCTGGTCACAAAAGCTTCAGAAAAGCCATTATGAAAACAAGGCACTGAAAAACAGCCTTAAAAGCCAAAGCCACAATGCCAAGGTAAAAATGCTGGGCTAGATCATTCTAAGCCGGGCGTGGTGTCGGGTCGCATTTGAGGTCTCCAGCCTCCGAGCTGCTCCACTGGAATTCTGCAGGAGCAGCCCCAAAGCAGGCAGCGCGTTGCTCACAGCTGTGGAATAGCAGCTACCTCCCAGTGGCTTTGCTTTCAGGAACCAGGCTGCCCAGCCCAGCCTACAGCCCTTCTAATCCTGCTGCTTTTGTAGGTGCATCCTTGGGTTCGTTATCGGGAGGAAGCATCACCAAAGGCATCCCCAGCACGAGGCCAGCATCGGACTCCCCCATCACCTACCGTGGATCCATCACACACGTAGGTGTCTTCTGATTTTTAGATGGTTCCAGGACTCACCCAAACCTGCCCAGAGGCTCCTGACGGGGCAGTGAACTTGCCGCCTCTTCTCCTCCTCCGCCTCCTTCCGTCCATGGGCGCAGGTGGTGTTGGATGTGTACCTGGGTGCCTCTTAGGGTTAGGGTTAGAGCTTGCGCTGCACCAAAGCCGGGAAATGCTTTGGGCCTCACCTGGGAACGCCTCGGTAGGTACGCATAGATGGGGAGAGGATGCCCTGGAAGGGCGGAGTTTGCAAGCCGTTGGCCTGGGGGACTGGCCTGCGGGGGCGTGGTCTTGCACCTGGGTGCAGGGATTGCAGGTGAGCAAAGCCACGTGTCCCTTCGCCAAGACCTGCCAGCGTACAGTGTTCAGCCGTAGTGAAAGAGAGAGGGCCTTTCCAGCTGCAGTCCTTGGCGTAAGACTCTTAGCCCAAATCAGTTGTCCCTTTGGGTTGCACCCTTAGTAAATTTATTATGTTTTTTTAATGGAAAGCAGTTCTAACTCTTTTATATTTTATATATTTTAAGAATTCTGTAATTCTTCTTGTTCTTTTTTGAAAGAAAGGCAATTAAGACGTTCCAGTGGCTCCCACAACTTTCCAACGACATTTACCTTTCCTTTTTACTTAATAAGCAATGAATATGCTTTTCTTTTTTGCTCTGGAAATTTTGCTTGGCTTTTGTCATGGGACGCTTGGAAGAGCTTTTGTAGCAAAATCAGGTGTTCAGGTAGGCCAGGTTGAAACTGTTTCCTGCAGATCACCAACTAAACTGTCCTGAAAGAAAGGTTTGTTCCCAGCAGGAGCAGCTCAAATCACGATCTTGTAAGTTATCTTGAGAACCTGGAAACACGGCACTGTATGAATGCCTAAAATAAATCAATAAATTTTAGCTTATCCTCACACACATTCATTAAAACAACATAATAATTTTTATTTACCATCAAGAAACTCTAGGAAATACTTTTTCTTGGAAGTACATGTGTACTTACCATGTTACAAATTTAAACAGCTATGACTTAGTGGAGCACAACCCTGTCTTGGGTTTCTTAATTCTTTAAAGTTTGATTTCTGTTCTGAAGAGGAAGCAGCCCAAATAAAAATAAATTGTGTCTAGCTTGACCCATCCTCTCTCTAATTTACTGGAAGGATTTGATGAAAATCTGAGGAGGCAGCAGAAGATTAAAAATGCGTATGCATATCCTGAGAGAGAGATTATTAATATTGGATGCATTATTAATGTCTCCTAACAGAGATATTAGGAGATTTTGCCTACTCCGCCTGGATCGCCCAGTGTTCCATCAGTGTGAAGAGTGGCCCAGGGTCTGAGATCCAGCGCAAAATGAGCAAGGCAGGCCGTGAGCCGAGATTTTAAATCGCTTCAGCCTCCGTGCGGCTAGCGGGTAAAGGCTGAACGGCTCTTTACAATCCATCCTCCAGCAAGGGGCCGGCTGCCAGAAGAGCGCCTTCGGGCTCTTGGGTGGCTTAAAAAGGAAACAGACAAACCAGCAGATACATAAATGAGTGGGGGTCTTCCAGGGATCTCCTTCCAGGCATTCTCTCCCGGGTCTTGCCTGGCGGCCATCGCATGAGAGTGCGCACGTACCCTCTCAGACGGAGCCGTGCGCGCCAGTTCTCATCCGTCATCCCCAGCGGCAGGGTTCATGCCAAGTGGGTGATAGCTTTGTGCCACTGAGTTATTGCTTTATCTGGAAGCGGAGCAGAGAGAACCCATTTCCCTAAGCGAGTTTTCACTGGCTGGTGTTCAGATCTTTAAAGCTGCTTAGAAACGCTCTGGATTCCTCTCCCCTGTCGGGAAGGATAAATCGTTCCAGTGCCACTAGAGGGCCCATTACTGGGCGGTCTTGGATCACACAAGATAAATCACACATTGGCTGATTGCAGTTACTTCATTCTCTCTCTCTCTCGCTATTATTATTTTTATACATAAAAGGGGGGGAAACTAGAAAAAGTAACATGTAAAAGCAAAAGGGACCAAGGGACCTTTCCTATAGCACAAAGAGTGGGAAGTTGCACAAAAAATCAGTAGTTATTATTACTTCTATCAATTTTATAACTGCACTTTTGACTTAATAATGCTTATTACAAAAGAAGAAGAAAACTTTAACATGGGTCTCAAGTAAACAGTAATTCATTATATAACACAGAGCGCAGAGTGGGGCTTCCGCGAGAGGTCGTTGAGGCCCCATCGGTGCGGGTGTTCAAGGATAGTCTGGACATCCACATGGTGGGGATGTCGTGAGCGGAGCCGGCTGGTGCCGGAGGTCAGACTAGATGGCCCCGGAGACCCCTACTGACCTGCTCTGTTTCTATGTTTCTAGTTCTTTTACTCCCACCTGCCTAGCAGCTAAAAAAAAATAAATCCAGATCAACTCAAACTACAGCAGTCAAAGTGCCTTAACACAGTTGCTTTTGGTAAGAACCTCAAGCATCAATATTTTGTGTGGGTATTTAAAATGTGTGCATTCGGATGAAGGTGTGTATTTTGAAAAAAGTTGTACATTTTGAAAAAAAATGCACATTTTTTCAAGCATACGCTTGGTTAATATGAGGGCAAATGCGGGGGGGGGGATTTGTGTGCTCCAGTTTGTGACTGGAAAATTCTCCTTTGTCCCTCTGTGTGGCCCTGCAGAGAAACACAGCTGGATGCACCGGCCCAGAATCCAGCAGTTAATCCATGAGTGCGAGCCTCTGCTGCAGTAGCTGAATCGCGGGATTCATGCTGTGTCCCAGATCTGATTTCCCGTAACTCCAGATAAAGGGACCTTGAAGAACTGCAGCAAGTTGAAGTAGGCAGAACTGGCCTAGAGGGACTTGAGGTCTAACTGGGTGTAATCCAGTTGAGATGCTCCTTTAAGAGGCATTCGCGTTTCACCGATCCAGATGCACAACTAATGCAGCCTGGGTTTTTTGAAATGCAGAAAGGTAGATAATGAGACAAGTACGGCAATCTAGACCCTCTTACAGGGTGTATGAGCAAGCAATCCTAAAGAGTTTGTTGGCCAAGAGCGGCACAAAAGGAGCTGCCAGGAGAGATGGAGCGGAGGACAAGGAGCTGCCCAGTGTCTGCGGAAGGGTCTGCGTCAGTTTCAGCTTGCCCCTCCACCATGCTGGGGTTCAAGGCGTCGCCAAGCGCGAGGCTTCCTCGGCCTGCAGTGCCTGTTGTCCCCTTCCCGTCTCAGCAACCCGGAGAGAAAGCACGCGCGTCCTCGCCCGCTGTCCCTCGGTTCCATCCCCATCTCCACGATCCTTGCGCTGCTCAGTCCTTAAGCCCCACGACGGCCTGTGACGGGAAGTGGAGTTCCCGGCCGGCGCATGCTTGCTCTCGCTCGTCTTTGTTCAGCCTGTCTCCAGGAACGGAGTGTTCATCTGCCCACCTGCACTTTGCTTCTGCCTTAATTGCTTATGACACGGTTAAAGACGGTCTTGGTCTCTTTCCCAGGGCACCCCAGCCGAAGTGCTCTACAAAGGAACCATTACCAGGATAATGGGAGAAGACAGCCCCAGCCGAGCGGAGAAAGTGCGGGAAGACGCCTTGCCCAAGGGACATGTCATTTACGAGGGCAAGAAAGGACACGTCCTGACCTACGATGGTGAGTCGCACTCCTTCTCAGCCCCCCCCCCAGTGCCCACGGACCAGGGGGGGCTTGAAGTGAACCTGCACCTCCTGCTCCCTCCCCACAGCGCTGGGGGGTCCAGCCAACAGGCCCAGTTTCCGAAGTGCCAAAGGCAGCTAGCTAGGCCAAATCAGTCTGAAGCCAAGGTCCAGAAAACAGATCAGGCAGCGGGCGAGTTTCCACAGGATGGTGGTCCAGAGAAAGGCTCTGACGGATGGTACAGGAGCCTGAGCGTTTGGGTTTTTCTCTTGTTCCATTTTGATTTGTTTTGAAAATGAGTTAAAAATGGAGGCCGCCAAAGCCGTCATAACATAGCTAGGGTTTACAGCCACTGTGGTGTGGAGCTTCGAGTGATGGTCTGGGAGCCTGGGAGACCTGAGTTTTAATCCCCACTCGGCCTAGACTCCTTCACGGGGCTGCTGTTGTGGGGATAAAATGGAGGGGAGGAGAATTATGTAAGCCGGGTGTGTTCCTCCCAAAAGGGGGGGGAGTGGGTATTAATGCAGTGTAATAACAGTAATAGCAGCAGCAGCAAGAACACTAAAGAGACAAAGGAATTCACTGACGATGCCGGATTACTCCCAATATGTTTGTGGAACAAGTGCAGTTAATCAGCTGATGCACACAATCTAATGAGAAAATGAAAAAACAAGTTATAAAGTTAGACAGCACAGAAAAGGAGTGTGCACGCACAGCACAAATTCTCCACTTTATTTCCCCAGGAGTTCGATAACCCTTGAATGGATTTCGCCCTCTCTTCTGCAGATGCTTCTGAGATTGCTTGTTGCTGCTGCAATTCCTCCCCCATCCCGGCCCAACACACACACACACTCTCTCTCTCTCTCTCTCTCTCGGTCATTTTTGCTAATCGTTTGTATGAGAGTGATCCATGTGATTAATTATCTCTTAAACCAAATCATGCACTCCCACGAGTGAGGGTTTTCACATGTAGGACATAATTCATTTCAAACAGGCAAATGAGCCAGTGTAAAATACGGTGGATGGATTGACTCCTTGTGGACGTTTTGCAAGGCTGTTTGGGTGGAGTTGCACGTGTGCCTTGAACGCAGCCTCAGTTCACTGCGGACGAAGTCTTGGCCCTCCCTTCAATGTGGTAAAGTGCATTGGCTCATTCTCTTGGCTCATTCAAGACACGTTGGATTTTGGGCCTAGCAGCGGGAGTTGCCGATCCACAAATATGCCTCCTTAGTGACGCCATGGAACTATGCTGGACTCAGTGATACATAGAAAGTGAGCTAGTCAGGGGCCTCCCGGGCCATCTAGTCTGACCCCCGGCTCCAGCCGGCTCCGCTCATGACATGCCCACCATGTGCGTGTCCAGCCTGTCCTCGGACACCCATCCTTGACTCGATGGCCCTTGGTCTAACTGTGCATGACTCTTGTTACCTTCTTAAAGCACGATCATTCCAGGGCTGCAATTACTATTTTAAAAGCCACTTGCACTTCTCAGTCTTGTACTAAAGTTTGCTGGATTCACACCAGGAATTGCCTGTCCAGGCATATTATTTTTCTTTGCCATGGGATCCCTAGTGGATGAGGCTGGTTTATACATTTTTAAAATTACATAAATACCCTTTTGGAGCAGTCAGATAAATTTTCTTCTCTTCCGTGCCTGCCTTTTAAATTTTCCCCGGACGGCAAATGTTGAACAAAGAGACATGGCCAAGTGTTATCCAGAAGATACTGTTATCTCTCTGTTTAGCCTTGAGATGAGACGACTGAGAGCTGATGGCTTACGATCGCACTTTTCAAGGGTCTAAAGGGTGCCACACAAGAGAGGGCTGCAGCCTGTTCTCTGTCACCCAGCTGTAAAACATGGAATAATGTGGAATGTTGCAGGAATGTAGATTTTGATTGCATATCAGGGGGGAAAACATCCTAACGGTTGGAACCAATTGCCTAGAGGGGTGGTAGGCTCTGCATCACTGGATGCATCCAAGCAGAAACTGGAGAACCGTCTGCCAGGAATGCTTGGAACTGGGTTCCTGCACTGCGCAGGGAGTTGGACTTGATGGCCTCCTGCCCAGCTTGGATTCTGTGATTCTGAGGCAGTTGGCAGAGCCAGCACTACTAAATAGGAGTTTGGAGCATCTTTTCCAGATGGTGGGTTTGCACTGTCCACACATGATATCTAGAGAAAGCAAACCTTGGACATTTGAAATGTTCAAAAGGGTTTTTTTTAACATTGACAATAACTAATTATAGAAAAAAATGAGTTAGAATTTAAAATTCTCTCTGGAATCTTAGCCATGGGCATGGACAAATCGGGGAAGGGAGCAGTTAGAGAATAAATCTGTTATAACAGAATAAATCTGTTATGAATTCTAGCAGGCAGGAAGGAGTTCAGGGAGGGAGACGGGATAAAGACGCAAGCACTGCCAGCACATTGATGCCATTTTGATACTTGCCAATAAAGGCGCTCTAATGAGGCGAAATCTTGCAGCGTCTGTAAGCTGAATGGGACAAGATTGGTTATTCTTACTGCTAATGGCTCTTCTGTGAGGAAGGGAAATGTGCACCGAATCCCTTTCTCCCTCTTTTGTTACCCTCTGCTGCAAGTGTGCTTGGATGGGCGGGGGGAGCCTTGCGCTCTTCCTTCAACCAGAAGCGCTTTGGAACAGATGTTGCTCAGTGACAGGACGGGATGACTCCTCTACACACCACGTGTCTCGAAAATCGCAGCCCCTTTCCCAGCGCCGCCTGCACGATTTGGCCCCGTGCAATGCGTGTGTTGAACCTCTTTTGCGTGTTTCCACCCCAAGAACCCAGTCTGGTTTAGTGGAGCTTCTGGGGCTTCCTTCTAGTGGTGGCCAGGACAGGCCCAAAATGCCAGCGTCTCTCAGCGTCGGGCTTTCATTCCCAGTCACTAAGCCTTAAGAAAGGCATTTCAGCCTTTCAGAATGGAAAGCAAACGGTGCTGAGGGAGCGCAGCTGGTCTGGGGAGAGCTGAGTTAGGGCTTTAAGCAGGTCGGGGGCTTCCCACAAGCCTGAGGTTCTGCAGCATTGCTGTAAAAGGAGAGGCAGCTTGGCAAATACGAAATAAAATGGGGAAGCCTTCCTCAGCCGCAGGAAAATATTTATGTATTTTCTTACGTTCCCAAGTAGCGTACTGTGAGGCCTATTTGCTGCCAGCTTGCCAGGATGGAGGGAGGTGGAAGAAAGAAAGAAAAGCAAAAGGCAGGTGTCGGCTATCTTGGGAAAGGCTGCTTGATTCTGAGCCTGGGAATTTTAAATAGAGAATCTGACCTGGAAATGTTAAAGATGGGCTTCCACGTGACCTGTTGCTCGGTCTACTGCTGTTGAAGGTTGGTTTCTTTTTAGTCCCTCGGGAGTTCGTTCAGGATGCTGCCCGTGCAGATGCTAATGTCCTGTTGTGAGTTTCCTCCAGCAGCAGCAGCTGCCTCCTGTACAACCGCGGAGGTGTTCCCAGAATGAAAGGGCCATTCACCTTGCGCGTTGCTGAAGCCACACCTGTGCTGTGCAGGTGGCCGCGTGGCCCCTTTTGGCAGCTGCTGCACCGAAGCTCTAAGCAAGCCTTCATTCTAGGGAGAAGTTTTTTAAATTGCCGTCAAGGTTTGACCGGCTTGGCCCTGCCCCTCTGCTCGAATCAGCAAAGGCAGCCATACCGGTACCAGAGGTGGGCATCAATAAATGAACTTGGTTGTGTGACGTAGGTTCAGCATTTGAGATTTTGGATCGAAGATGCAAGACAATGTCTCAGTATTATTCTGGTCCCTGGCTGCACAGTATGTTCCCTCCACTGGCCTGCCTTTCTAGATTTTTTTTGTTTTTGCTTTGTTCTGCTTTCTTCCTCCTCGAGTTTCACCCTTTGGCTTTCTAAGCTTCAAGGATTTTTATCCCATCAGTTAGTACAGATTAACGGGTGTGGGGGAGGGAGGATGCAACTTTCCCCCTCACGCTCAGTTTGAGGCAGAGGGGCTTCTTCCTGTGCTGCCTCCCCGCACCCCTTAACTGCTGGGGGCCAGCTGGGGTGGGTGGGGGGGTCTGGAAAGAACACAACAAGGGGAAAGCAGAGGCCCGTTTTGTGCATCTTTGCAAAGGAGCAAAGGGTGACTAAGAAGACACATTTCTGCTCCTTCTGCCAGGCCTGGATTTGGCTTTCAGGGCCTCGCTGGTCACGGTCAGGCTGTGAGGGAGGCCGGGGGTTGATGCCACGCACAAGGCCACCAAATTTGGAAGAAAGTCGGGAAGTCGCTTCCCAGGAACAGGCTCCGGCTGTAATGTTTACGAAGGCTGCTGAGTAATGCTGGACGGATGCCCTGGAGACGTCCCCCGGGACGGGGCTGACCAATTCACCGAAGTCCCGCTCCGAGCTTGGAGCATGAGCAGCCGCCGCCTCCGTCCAGTCCGCTCCCTGCCCCTCGCTCACATGTCTCTTGCTCTGCCTTGCTTTGTCGTCCTCCTCCAGGCGGTGCCGCTGCCGCGCAGTGCCCCAAGGAAAACAGCAGAGGCGCCGGGGGCCAGCACGAGACCCTCAGCTCCAAGCGGACGTATGACATGATGGAGGGGAGGGTCCCGCGGAGCCTGTCCGGGCGTGAGCTCTCCTCCGCTGGCATAGAAGGTGGGGGCTTTGTGAGCGGTTACACGCCGGTGGCAAGACCTCGTTCCTGTTGTCCTCCCCCCCCCACCCCCTTGAAGCGCTTGCTCCTCTCTCAGAGGGTGGGCTTCCGAAAGTCAGGAAAGGGGAGAGTGCCGGCGTCGCATTCTTTCTGGTGACGGGCCGAGCCCCCGCTGGTCTCAGCCATTCATAGTTGGTCACAGCCATGAGGTCAGTGGAGCCAAGACATTTGGTGCACTGGGGAAAGAGGTGCCCTCAGCCGTTCACGTGGTTCTTCCCCTGCCAGGCAGTGGCCCATTGGAGGGAGGGCGGGAGGCAGCCCCTGGCAAGTGGAAGGCCTGTGCAGTCGGTCTTCTCACACGGCTGCATTATCCACACTGCTCGTTACCTCACTGTGTAAGATTCCACTTTGTGGAGAGGCGTCCAGGCCCTTGAACGTGATACGAAAGGACCTGAAATATTTTCCCAAGTTGATTCTAAGTGCATCTCTTTGAACGTCAGTTTTTGGATTTTTTCATATACTTTGGAAAGACATGAGATGATGATGGGTCAGAAAAGACAATATGGTGAATCCTTAAAAAGGATGAGACACGCCTTTAAAATTACACTTTGGTAAACGATGGCAAACACGCACAGCAGACCGTTCCTTTCTGTCCGGAGCAGTGGACTCCATGATGGGAATCAGCAAGTACCCTTTAGATTCCGTAAATCAACGCTTTATTCCGTGACAGCACCTAGAATCCAGAAACACTCAGGAAACACACCCACTGGAAGTGCATGGGACAGGAACGGGCTTCTGTTTTGTTGGCCTTTCTGGCTCCCGAAGCCTCCGCAAAAAGGTTGCTCTGGGGGGCGGTGTTTTGAGGTAGGACGAAAGTGCGCGCCTTGAAATGTCACCGCTTCCTTCTGTCGCGATCCAGGTCTGATGGGCCGGGCCATCCCGCCGGAGAGACACAGTCCCCTCGGCCTGAAAGAGTCACATATCCGGGGCTCCATCACACAAGGTAACCAGCACGGAGCACGTGGGGAAGCCTCGCCTGGCCGCGAGCCTTGGCAGCGCGCCTCTTGCCGAGACCCCGCTCTCAGTCCTATTTCCGTCACGGTGTGCTTCTGGGGCAACTCTTGAGGGAAGCAGTCGGCCAGCCTTCCCCGCAGCCTGCTGCCCTGCAGACGAGCAGCACTGCAGCGGGCAGCAAGACCGGCCATGGGGCCAGTTCCTGTGGCAGCCGGTACGCCCATGGCTCGTTGCCGCCCTTCTGGCTTTCAGCTGGGGTGGGTGACTCTTTGCAGCTGACTTCGGGAAGGAGAGGGATTTGCTGGTCACTTGCTGCTTGTGACGGGTCAAGCTCGGTGTTTTCTCTTCGGGGCACTGTGCCACTGTGGGGTTTTTGGGGTCAAGCAGCTATGAATGTTCACACACCAGTGGGTGAGGGTGAAGTGGGAAGGATCTCTTCTCAGCCCAGCCATGTGGAGCCACTCTGAAAGAGCAAGCTTAAGGCGGGCTGTAGAGAAACTTTCTCCCATGAGTTGGTACACCAAGGTTGACCCGCAGTGTGAATTGCCGATTCACTGCACTTGAAAGGGGCTGCTATAAACAGCATCCGTCTTCTGGCAACGCTATTTTGTCTAGAAAATGTTATGACTAGTGAGCATTCCAGAGCTAACATGCAGGTTTGAGTTTGCTGCCCAGGGCTGAGCTCCTTTCCTTGGTTTTGAAGCTCAGCCATTCCTTCAAAGGAACGGGATGAACTAAATGGAGAGCCATGACTCTTTTTTCCAGAGGGACGGGGAAGAGAACAGCGGGCGCTAGCACCTTTCTCAGCTTTGATGGATTCTTTCTCTGGATATGTGCCCCTAGGAATCCCCCGATCCTATGTGGAGGCCCCCGAGGACTACCTCAGAAGAGAAGCCAAGCAGCTCAAAAGGGAAAGCCCACCACCGAGGGACTTACCGGAGGCCTACAAGGTCAGGCCTCATGACAGCCTCACTCCGTTGAAACTGAAAACGGTCCATGACGGCCTGGTTGCCACCGTGAAGGAAGCGGGAAGATCAGTCCACGAGATCCCCAGGGAGGAGCTGAGGCATACACCCGACGTGTCCCTGATGAGCAGGACTGTGAAAGAGGGCTCCATTACCCAGGTATCATCTGCATTGTTTGTGGCAGAGGAGCGGCGGGCGCTGTTGAGAAACCCCTGGCGCTTCTCCCTCCTTGAGTGGAGCAGCTCCTGAAATCTAGCTCACGGCACGGTTTTCTTTTAGTGCGTTACCTAAAGCATTGCAATAGCGAGGCAGTGGCTGGGCTGGTAGGGTCGGAAACCATTGAATTCCTCGTTGAAGCTAACCACATTTTATCGTTAAAGCCAAAGTGGGAACTGCCCTTAGTTCAAACAATGGTTTATTGAGACTTGCCACCATCAGCAGCCACCGTTAGACCGTGGCTAGTTAGTTACAATTAGACAGACTTTCGCTAATCTCAGTTTAGCCCAGGCCAGATGTAACAACTTTGGTTAGTTGAAACCAGGAAAGAGATACTTCCAGGTGACCAACCAAAGAGGAATCCTGGGGGAAGTTCAGGACCCCAGGGAGCTCCAGCGCATCTTGGATCATGCTCATCTGTGGTTTGGTGCTCCGTTCAGGACAAGCAGCCAACTGGTTCTAATGCTGCTTGTTGAGGTGTGTAGCTAGAGAGGGATTGAAATCCATGTTCTCTCGGTCCCTTCTGTTTGAACTTCTGATGGTATTTTGGAGGAAAGAATACCCAGATGGATCCCGATTCCCAAAAGGATGAGCCCGTGCTTGGCCTGTGCCCCCTTATGTGGGCTGGTAAAATATTTAGACTGTTTCCGTACCAGCTACCCAGGAAGGGCTGTTTGCAGTCTGCCATATTGCAGCAGAGAAAAGAGCTAAATAATGTGGCTTTTCTGTGCGAATAAATCACCGTCTTGTGGTACAGGTTTAATAATAGGGCTGTGCAGTTAATCTGATGGATCTGCCCAATATTGTAAGTATTATCATTCTTATAACGAGCTGGTGGCACCTCCATAGGATGGACGTCTTGTTTCATGATGCTCTGGACACTGTTCCCTGCTCGATGGATTATCATTTCCCGATTTTGCTTAATATTCTTCTTTGGACGACTGAATGTGCAGTGCTGAAGCTCTGAGTTGGTCCTCATTTGCATCATTCGTAGTTCCAAATATAGGCACCATTTACCAGAAAATGGTAGTCAGAAAAATGCACGCTTTCAGTGAGGAAATGCACATTCTGTGAAGTACACACCTCAAAACATACAAGTTTCCTCGTTCAGCAAAGCATGGAGAATGCACCTCTTTCAAATGGTCTCACAAGTTTGGAAATGTGCAAAGATTTTTTGCAAAAATGCACGCAAATACGTGTCCATGTTTGAGGTGGCAAATGGGCTTGGTAGTTGCAGCAGAAGTGATGTTTTTGTACATCCCTACAGTCAGTCTCACCACCCTCTGGTGTTCACAGATTAGTTCTTCTTGGTGGCCTGCAATATTTCATACCAAGACTCCCACTAAATAAAAGTACTAGGTTTATTTACTAACATTATTTCTATACTGCCCAATAGCTGAGACTCTCTGAACAGTTTCCAGTTTCTCAAAAACACAGAGAAGAGAGAGAGTTTTAAAATACACAGATGCAAAAGCAGACGCGCAGATGAACCTACTCAGCCTATGAGGTGGTTCGCAGCTGGCTGTTGTGAGGCAGAACGAGAGCTTGCGGACTGCGCTCGGAGGGCTTCCCGGGTTCCTCTGAAGTTTGTGAGCAATTTCTCTAGGGCAGTGGTGGCCAGCCTATGGCACACGGGCCACAGCGGGCACACAGAGCCCTCTGTCGGCACGCCCCAGGAGCCGGGCATCGGGTAACAGCTCACATGGGGGCCGTGCGCATGTGGGGAAGGGAGTAGCGGGGCCAAGCGATGACGTCACGAGCCGCGACTCGGCGGAGCTTTCGCTTGGCTGGTCAGTCCGCTGCGAAGGAGAGAGAGGGAGAGGGGGGGAGAGAGAGAGAGAGAGAGAGAGAGAGAGAGATTTGCTGGAACGGGCTGTTTTCAGGTTTTATTGCAGTGTTGGCACTTTGCGATACATAATTGGGTTTTTGGTTGCCGGTTGGGCACTCAGTTTCTGAAAGATTCGCCATCGCTGCTCCAGGGGAAGGTCTGTTGCTTGCTCGAAAGCCGGTTTGCTCACTTCCGCCTGCGGTGTGCAGTTGCAGGAGAAACGTTGGCTCTGCTTTGGGCTTGGTCCAGTCACATAAGCTAACTGGTTTAGTGCAGACATACAGCACACTGTGGCTTATTTAGAACCCAGGCCCTGATTTGTGCCCGGCTTTTGCAGTTTCTGGTCTGTTTCCCACCTTTGGTAGACCAAATTGTGAGTGTCAGTTCAAGCAACCTTATTGCACTAAACACTGTTATGGAAAACATGATTTGTGGTTGTGAGTTTGCTGAGCTTATCACCAACTTTTTCCATTTAAGTATCCTATCAAATCTAAATGGACAGCAGCGTTTCCTTGGCTGTGAAGTCAGGAGACGAAAGAGTCCCCAGAAGGTGAAAAGTTTGAAAGTTTTTGGACAGTATCCAAAGAAAACTGCTGTGATCCAGATTTTCTTGCAGGCTCAGGAAAACTGTGGAAATGGGCATTAACTTTAGTTATAAATAGACGATTTTTTCCCTGCTATCCTAGCCAAGCCGGGTACGCCAGCAGCATCCATAGAAGGCCGGCTGGACGACATGATGTTGTCTTTCTGCCAGCTGGTTGACCTTCCTCTTTGTTCCCCCAGGGTACCCCGCTGAAATACGACAGCAGCGCTTCAGCAAGTGCCAAAAAGCATGATGTCCGATCCATCATCGGAAGCCCGGGCAGGACTTTCCATCCCATGCATCCTCTGGAGGTCATGCAGGACCCAAGGAATCTGGACCGAGCTTACGAGGAAAGCATGAAAAGCAGGCCCAGCCCGGTGGCCAGTGCTGGCGGCTCGATCACCAGGGGAGCCCCCGTGATCGTGCCTGAGCCAGGGAAGCCCCGCCACAGCCCGCTCGCCTACGAGGAGCACCAGAGCACCCACCAGAGTGCTTTTGGTGGCCACCTGCACCGGGGGTCCCCAGTGTCCACAAGGGAGCCCACCCCCAGGCAGCACGAAGGTCAGTGGAGCTCCCCCACGACTCAGAGGCCAGCCGTTCCCAAGCAGTTCTTTGATGCACATTGGGAGACCTCAGAGCCTAGTTTGTTTATTCATTTATTTATTTATTTGGACCACTTATATGCCACCCCATTCGCAAAAGCCTCGGGGCGGCTTCCAATACAAATAAATAACTATACAAATACATAAAAATCTGGAGACATCCCGGCATAAATGTAAAATCAATAAAGAAATTCAACCATTAAAATAACGTTTAAATAAAAAGGTCTTGGCCTGGCGCTGAAAATCAAATAACGACGGCACCAGGCAGGCCTCTCTGGGGAGCGCATTGTATAGGTGGGGCGCCACCACAGAGAAGGCCCTCCTCCGGGTACTCGCCCTCCTAATATCCTTCACGGAGGGCTCCCGGAGGAGGGCCTCTGCCACCGATCTCGAGGGGTGGGAGGGCTGATAGGAGTTTATTCCTCCTTTCCCTGATAGCTTTTGCAAGGAAGGGGCTGTTGAGTTCCTTTGCAGCTACTTTTGGGTGCCAACCGGGACAGTCCAGCAGGGGATGCGTCAGCTTCCCCTGCCCTTCTTGTCTTCCGAATCCAGAGCAAAGCTACCCTCTGCCTATCAGTCCTGCTGAGAGAGAGAGACTCGCATCACGTTGTCTGACTGTCCGTGTTCTTCTGAACACCCCTGTCGATCTGAAAAAGACTGGCAAGCTTTTCATCCCTGCTTCTCGGAGCCTTGTGTGCCCATTAATGGGCGCTTTTTCCCTGTCTCCAGAAAATCAACTTGTTCACTGAGCTAAGAGTCTCGTTCATTTTGAGGAACAGAAAATGCCCTTTGCGGATGTTTCAGTATTGCACGGTTAATGTTCTGAAAGCAAGATTGCAGGAGAGATTTTAGCCAAAACACTCGCAGATGTTCCATTTCTTTTTTTCTTTACGCGTGTTTTAAATTCCAAGTGTGTCCTTTAGCACTGAGGGTAGGTTTTGTTGGGCAGCAGTGCAGGGAAGAAAATTATTTGCAGAGAAAATAAAGATTTCTGTGGATATTTTTTTGTGTTTCTAAAGGACAGTATTCGCCTTAATTCTTGAAGCACTGAGTTCGCATGCCTCACAGTAGCAGAAGAAAATACTTCCCTGACGGCGGCCTGTGCTTGCGAGGATGTTTCCATATCGGCTGTTCTTACAAATGGTTTCTGCTTTGATAGGAAGCATCACTGCCGGAAAGCCAGTCTCTCAGGACAGGAAGATCACCCCAACGCCAAGAGAAACGGCCAGCGCCAAGTCGCCTCACGCGACCCTTGCAGACCATCACCATCCCATCTCCCCCTACGAGCACCTGCTCCGCGGAGTGAGCGGGGTGGACCTGTACAGGGGACACATCCCGCTGGCCTTCGATCCCGCCGCCATCCCCAGGGGAATCCCCCTGGAAGCAGGTAAAAACGCCTCGGGCTTGGGAAAGAGCAGGACGCAATCCGCCCTGAGTGGCGTGCACCAGCCGAATTCGAAACGCCGCACGTAGCTGAAGCTTTCGGCAGAGGTCGGCTTGGGTCAGGGTTTTAACAGCTTTGGGTATAATACTTTCACAGACGGTGAAAAGAGACGGATGCATTGAGAGATGCTAGGACCCCGTTGGATGCAATGCGGTCGCTTTTTAAGCTGTCCTCCATGCGTAGATAGTCCCAGGATGTTTATAGGAGATGGGATGGGAAAGCTTTTAATGAATAAATAAATGGTTTCCTTCAAGAATTGGGGATAATCCAAGTTAAGAGGTATTTTGGCAAGGGCAGCTTATGGAGAAATGCAAAACTTGGAGAGGCTGGAAGGGGTCAGAGCATCATAGCTGGGTCCAGGTGTCCCGGGGGCCAGCTCCACGGAAGAGAATTGTGCAGCATGCGAAAAGGCCGCCCCAGTCCTTGTCTTCGCTTTGTCCAGCAGCTGCGTATTACCTGCCGAGGCACCTCGCGCCGAGCCCGACGTACCCCCACCTCTACCCGCCATACCTCATCCGTGGCTACCCGGACACCGCCGCCATGGAGAACCGGCAGACCATCATCAACGACTACATCACTTCCCAGCAGATGCACCACAACGCCGCGACCGCCTCCGCGATGGCCCAGAGGGCAGACCTGCTCCACGGCCTGTCTCCCCGAGAGCCCTCTCTGGCCCTCAACTACGCCGCAGGTCTGCCGGCCACACCGTGGCTCCGGGGGCAGAGAGGGGGTCCCCGGGCTAGATGGAGGGGCTGCTCGGGGCCGCTCGGCGTTCTGCCTGAGCCAAGCGAGAGCCTCTTCGGGCGTCTTCGGTTGACGGCGGTGGGGGAGGAGGGTTTGAGCATCTCGGGCCTCCGTCAGCTGCGTGGGCTGTCTTAGTGAAGGCGGCTGGGTCGATCGCCTTTGGACGCCTGAGCATTGTAGGGGCGCCACTGGGACTCTGAGCTGTAGGGCCAGGTGGAGCAGAGCACCGGGACCGCAAAGGTGACGCCTTCTCGCTGAGCGTTTGCGTTATCTTGGGGCCTTCAGCGGCATGCGGCCTGCTTGACCGAAACCCCCCTTGTTTCCTAGCCACGGCTAAACGGCCGAAGGAGGCGCCGTGTGGCTGGTGGGTCATGCGCCCTTCCTGGGGGAGCCCACCGGTGCTTGGCGTGCTCTCCTCATTACCTGCCATCGCTTTCGAGCCCCCTGCAGGCCGTTTCGAGAGCAGGCCGCATGCCAGGAGATGGGTTATCCCTTGACGTCTAGAGCTGGGGAAGGGCTGCCTGAAAATCGTGGCAGCCATGGAGCATAGAGGAACAGAGAGGGAAAATACTGCATTTTCTGCAGAGCAAAAGACCCTTTTTTCCCCCCCGAGTGCCACACGTGTTGCCGTATGGGGGTACACCAGGAGAGGGCGCTGTCCTCTTGGTTCTGTGCTCCTCGCCGCCGGTGTACTTCGAACTGACTGTCACCTGGTTCTTCCAGCAGGAATCATTGACCTGTCCCAAGTGCCACACTTGCCCGTGCTGGTGCCCCCCGCCCCCGGCAGCTCCACCGCCTCCATGGACCGCATCACGTACATCCACAGTGCCCCCCAGCCCTTCAGCAGCCGGCACAGCAGCTCTCCTCTCTCCCCAGGTAGGGTGCTTCGCGATACGGACGCTCCGCCAGCTTCTCAAAATCCCGGACAGGGTCAGCTTCCATTACGGATGCATTTGGAGATGCTGGCAGGCCCTGCCAGCGGTGGCGGTCTGGAAGCGGCATCTCCGGGTCGGGCTCACTGCTGCCGGAGGGTACGGTCCAGGAGGGGCCCAGTGGGGCAGGCAAGCCAAGTGGGGAGCGGAGCAGCTGGTGTCGCAGCCGGCCTCCCCTTTGCCCTCGATCAAGAGGCAGGTTGCTCAGAGCCAGAGCTTTCTGGGGCCGGGCAAAGTCATGGTGGCCCCCCGTGTCTCCTGACAGTTCCGGAGTCACAGCACCCCCCGTTTTGGGGGTGCCCAGGCACAGCAGGCAGGGGGCCAGAGCCTCTGGGTTGACCGCATCTTGGGAATGGTGCTCGCGGTCGCTGCATTTTTAAATGGAGGCTGCAGGAGGAGGAACAGAGAGAAAGGAAAGGAAAGCAGAAGAAAACGGGGGTTGAACTTCATGCCTGCCAGGACTCCGCAGGTGGCTGGGCTCACTTCCCCGTACGCCTGCGCACCTGGTGTAATGTCAAAGTTCCCCACTTCTGCGTGGACTCCCCTCCCCCCCGTCCTAAAAGCCTGAAATGCCTCTCCCGAGGGTTTGTTGCTGGCAGTGAGAGCTTTACGCTAAATTAGACGTATTTTTGGTGTTCCTTGCGCTGCACCCTTTGTCTTGGCCCTTCCCGCTCACGTAACGCAGCTCTGCGTGGTTCTCCAAAACTGAATTTGACTGAAAGAGGTTCAGCAGCCCACTTTTCAACTGCTCAGCAGAGGTTGGACGTGTTGCCTGGTGCGCAAGAACACACCGTCTCCTGGTCTTTGCGAGTCCTCAAGGGGCCTAAATATGGCTACACTCTCAGGCTGGCAGAACACATGCCTATTAAAGTAGAGGCTTTTATGCCAGGCTGGCTTGTGAGTGGCTTTCAGAGCAGCTGCTGCTGTTCAAGTAAGACAAGGAGAAGAGAAACAAGCACCCTCCTTCTTGGACGTATTGCGAGGGGCACGTTTCTAGGCCTGTGCGCAAAACTAGAGTTCTTTCTTCACAGGGGCCCCCACACACTTGACCAAGCAGAGCGGACCTTCCGTTTCGGAACGGGAACAAGAGCGAGACCGCGAGAAAGACCGCAAGAAGTCAGTCTTAGCATCCACGACCACTGTGGAACACGCCCCTATCTGGAGACCAGGTGAGCTGCGTGGACTCACAGGGTCCTTGGTGGAAAGCAAAGCAAGGAAGCTTCCGAAGAGGTTTCCGCGTTCCGGGTTGTTGTCCCTTCTGCATTCCGCACCTCGTAATTCCGATTCTCCTTCCCCATGTGTTACGGCAGGCACGGAGCAGAGCAGCAGCCGTTCGTCAGCACACAACCACAAGCACTCGCCCGTCTCACCCCGCACCCAGGAGAATGTCCAGCAGCGCCCGAGTGTGCTGCACAACACAAACATGAAGATGATCTCCGCCGAGTGCCTTGCCCCCGCTGTTTTGCGGTACGTGACAAGGGGTCAGACTAGATGGCCCGGGAGACCCCTTCTGACTCGCTCTGTTTCTCTGCTTCTGTGTTAATGGATTAACAGGCTTCTGAGTGCCTGGGGTGGGGGGAAGGAGGTGCATTGCCCTGTGCATTTTGCTAGCACGATGAACACAAGCCAAGGACGCGCTTCCTAACATGCATCTGACTATTTAGGGCCTTGTAGGGGATTGAGGTGGGGGGGGGGGGTATGACAAAGGCATGTGAAATTAAAATATAGAAAATTTTAGATAACTGCAAGAATCATCTGTCAAAATATAACCGCTTCGTAAAACTTTAAACATCAGTGACAAAAAAGCTTAAGTAAATTAGGCACCATCACACTCTTGGCAACGGAGGGAAGTCTTCGCCTAGTGTTAGAGCTGGTGCAGTGTAGCGGTTAAGGGATAGGACTGGGCCTGAGGCAAAATGGTTTCTGGTCTCCACCAGCCATGGAGCCAACTGGGTGACTTTGGGCTAGTCAAAGTCTCTCAGCCTGACGTACCTCACAGGGTTGTTGTTGTGGGGGCCCAGTTGAGAGCGGGAAGAAGAGAAGAAAAATACATCTAATAAGAAGAAAGAAATGATGCTGACGACAGGCAGGCCTTGTTGGGGAGGTTATTCCATAACTGATGGGCCACCGCTGAGAAGGCCCCGTCTCTTGTCGCCATCCTCAGGGCCCCCCCCCCCCGGAGGAGATTGTCAGCTGTTAATTGCTGTACACTGCTTCACCTATGGGGCAGTATAGAAATGAAATAATAGCAACAGTGGTAAGATACTGATAAAATCGTACCTGTGTAAGTTCATAGCACAGCTGACCATGTTCACAGGGAAGAGTGCAGCTGCTGAAGATAGCCGGCTCACGTGCTGTGGAAAGGAACAAGGACACCCCCTGGCTACATTATAGATTTACACAGCGGTGGAGGATGTAGCGTTACTGGGGGCCTCCTCCTCCGCAGCAGGCCTCTGACTTTACCTTTGCTTCTTCAGATCGTCGTCCTCAAGCACCGCCACATCCCCCGTCCGCTCCTCAGGCTTCCCACTAACATCGGCGTTGCGCAACTCTGTAAGTGGCATGGACAGCTACGCATCCGCGGTGGAAGCGGCCCACATACAGAAGGAGACGTCCAGGGTCCAAGATGCCCGAGCAGAACGGCCTCCGAGCGACGCCCACATGTTCGCCTCAAAGCTGTCCTCTGGGGCAGGCCTAGAACAGTCACCTTCGCCCATTAAAAGCACCGAGCCCAGGACTTTGCCCCCCTCCGGGCCAGGTCCGGCCCACCCGTTTAGCAGAGGACAGGGGAAAAGCCAGCCTCAGCATCACGCCCCCCTGGACCAGTCGCTGCACCCCGCTTCGGCCAGCGAGCAGCAGCCCAGTAGAGAAAAGAGTAAAACCTGTTCAGTTCAGGAACAGGAGCTCCGAGCACTCGGTAAGACCACCATGACAGCGGCCAGCTTCATAGATGTGATTATCATGCGTCAAATTTCTTGCGATAAGGGGAAGCGAGAGAGAAGCTCGCTAAATACCGACACCAATAGCGATGGTAAGAAATTGGAAGGGGGGAGCGGGGCGGTACTCCGAGTCTGTGGCCTTAAAAACACTCGTGAATACATTGAAAAGACCCTCCCTCCCCTAATCCACCATTTTTTGGAATTTAATTTTCGCATTCGTGGTGATGGCCTGTTCCGTCTCATGTGCAGACCCGGATGTTGTTCCGTACAAAAGCTCTGTGTGTCCTTCCCCCGCCCGCCATCTTCATGCCTTTTCGGAGTTTTGCTTGCCTTTCCCTTGGCTGGTCGTTGTGCGTATTATTCCATCCCGGGGGTGTTGCGGTGATTGTGATGGCCAGCCGGCACGTGCTCTGAGTGGGATGAGGGGGCGAGGGCGGCGGTGGGGACTGGGGGCCGTTGGGGGAGCGTGTGGGTGGGAATCCCTCCTAGCAACAAGGTACCTTTTCGCAGTGCACAATGAAAACAACCATTTTGTTAAGTGCCTCTCGTAATGTGAAAAATCAACGAACAAGCGAGAGGCACTTAACCAAAAAAATTCCTGCGTGGCACCATGACGTCACTTGACGACACCGGCCGGCAGACCGATGCAGAAGGGGCATCTCGCGTTGGAAGCTTGTACTACAATGGGCTCGCCCATCAGAGAGCGGTCCCAGTTTCTTTGGGTCCCTCCTCATCCTGCCTGTGCCATGGAGGTTGCCTGTGATAGCCGTCGCAGCTAGTGGGCCCTGCCAGCCTTCTCTTCCATGGATGTATCGATTCCCAGTTTAAATCCATCCAAATTGGCGGCCACTGCGACATCTCACACAAGAGAATTCCCTGGTTCGTCACACACACACACCCTGTGCTGCGTGGTGAAATCTTTCCTTCTAAACTGTGCTGAATTTCCAGCTGTGCGGCTTCATGGGGTGACCCTGCTGAATTCTGGTTGTATGAGAGGGAGAATTCCTCCCTAAACATTTCCTCCACGCCATGCAAGCTCTGCACAGCTCTATCCTGGCTCCTCTTACCATTTTTCTAAGCCAAACAATCCCAGATGTTGTAACCATTGCTCAAAAGGAGTTACCCTAATCCTGGATCTTTTTGGGTAGCCTCTTTCTGAACCTTTTCCAACTAAAATTTCCTTTTCATTGCATTGAGTAGGACAGTAGTCTTACGTATGAATGCATATAAGCATTCATATAAGGGGATTATGATCTTTGCAGCTTTATTTCCCATTCCTATTTTAATTATGCTTAACATGGAGTTTGCCTTTTTTGGGGTAACCAGACACTGGGTTGACAATCCCAAAAACTTCCTGGCCAGCCATTGCTAGCTCAAGACTCATCCGCTTATACTGGCAGTTGGGTTGTTTCTCCCAATATGCATCGCCTCATTAAAACACGTTTGCCATTTTGATTCTTATCCTTCCAGTTTTGGAGCTCACCACAACCTCTGCTGGTTTTACCCATGCTAAATAATTTGGCGCCATCAACCGTCTTGGCCATTTCGTTGCTCATGCCTAATTTAAGATCCTTTAAGAGTAGGGTGAAAAGCACTGGTCCCAATTCAGGTCCCGGTGAGATTGCACTGTGTACATCCCTCCACTGAGAGAACTTTTCATTTAGTCCTGTCTCTGCTTTCTGTTCAGGAATCTTTGGCGAGGGACTTTGTCAACAGTTTTTTTGAAGCACTGGAATAGCCCCCAGGAGAGCAGCATATTGGGAAAGCCTGACTGGAACCCCATTTTTAAAAAGCGGCAATTTCAGAACGAGCAAGCCCTGGGCAGTGCTCATGTGCCACATAAAGCATACTCTGAATATCTCTGAATACTCTGAATATCAGGCTATCAACTGAGAGCTAAACAGCCTGTTGGGAAACTCCACACTGCAGAGGTCCCATTTTGTTAAGCCTGGACTAGCCCTTTGAATTGAGCCCAGAAGTAATCAGGCCGCTTTTGCTGCCGAAACAACACTGGGATGATTCCAGACCACAGTTCCATCTCTTGCAAGTTATGCTTCCATGCGTTTCTCTGAGCTGGTCCTCTGTGCAGTCCATTGGCATAATCCAGCCGGGACATAAATAGGTCATGAAGCGCAGTTGCTCCCGAGTAGGGCTCCAACAGGTTCACCCACCCAGCTGAATAAGACATAAAACCATCGGCAGGAAACCTGGCAGTAAAGCAGCTTGAGATCTAAGGTTACGGATGCTTCCAGCTGCGGCAGACAATCCGCTTTCTTCTGAGATCTTGCTGTTGTCTGTGGCCTTTCACTCAAGAGCTGCTGCAGTTCACCTCGAGTCTCTGCTCAGCGTCGCTTCCTGGGATGTCGGCTGGTGGCTTTGACTCTCTCTGCTTAGTCCCGTTTCAGCTTCACTGAAAGGCAGATAAATTGTCTGCACGTCACTTGCCTATCCCTGCTTTTCCAAAGCGAAGTGTCAGTTGTCCCCGCACTGTGATTTAGAGCATGCTCCTGAATCGTGTCAGACTAGCAGGTACCACACCGGGAGGGAAGCCTGCAGTAGCTTCTTACGGGAAAAGAGGTTTTTCCACCCTGTCTGCCGAGCCCGGCACAAAGCTCTCGCCACAGCCGCAGCCTGCTTGGGAGGAAGGGTGCCACCCCCTTGTAAGACCCCTGCTCTCTTTTATGCCCCTCAGCTTTCCATGGAAGCTACAGCCCCAGTGATATTGAAGCGTTAAGCCCCGTGAGCTCGCCCCGCGTGCACCATGAGAAAGGGACGAAGCTGTCTCAGGATATTGACAAAGGCCGCGGAGGAGAGAATGACCTGAGGGCAAAGCAGCCAGGTGAGGAGCTTTCCTGCCTCCAGGGCAGCCGGGGACAAGCTCCCTGGCGAGGCGAGGGTGGGCGAGGCGAGGGTGGGCAAACCTTTTGGCCCCAGGGGCGGCATGCCGTGCCAGGTGGTCGACCAGTGGCTCACACGTATTCATCACCTGCGCTCTAGTCCCCAGCGGTCTCTGTCTGGGGGTCGCTTCGACGAGCCCCTCAGCCAGATTGATGGCGCGATGTGATGTTAAAAGCACTGCCGGCTCACGTGAGCCAGGTCTCCGTTAGTCGCGAGGAAAGGGCAGCCTCTGCCCTGGGTGGGAGTCAGGCCAAAGACTTCCCCAAAGGGCAGGAAGGAAACGGCTCTCTCTGACCAACTGGACTGTGGGGAGAAGTGGAGGGAACCTCAGGGCTCTGGTGGGACACAGCTTGCCTGCATGTGCCGATCCTCTGTGATGCGCTGTTGCTAAATGTTTTGGGCTCGTTCACACATTGCGTTTCGAGATGTAACCTTTAAAAAAAAGCTTAGCTTTGCACATCAATGCATGAATATATAGCAATCATCCCTGCGTTTTAACATTGCCGAAACGGGGTGAAATTGTCATTTATTTAGGGTATTTAATATTTATATTCCATTTTGCTATGCAATCATAGTCAAGGCAGCTGACTCGGAATGCAGAATAACCACCAGCTAGTGCGTGTGAATGCACGCCTGTGCGTCACTTTTCTGCCCTCAGGCCTCCAAAGCAAGTAACATTGATTTTCTTTTTGTTGCTGGTTCTCAAGTCCCAGCAAAGCGTGTGATGTAGAATCACAAGCCATGGTAGAGAGGCTGACATTTGGGCTTTGCCTGTTCCGTGCTTATAAGCAAGGGTTTCTTTGATTTGACTTGAGAATCGAGAAGATTGTCTGTATGAGATGAGGAGCCCAGCCGGCAGTTATCTAAAGAAGCAAGCTTCAGACTCCGAGGAACTTCAGATCTTCTAATTCCTCGTGGGCTGTTTTCTCCGTGGTTCTCTTTTCCTAAAGGTTCCCTCAAGCCTTCTGGGACGGAAGTTTCACACATGCAGCCGCTTCATCAGCTCCCTGAAGGTCGACAGTCGCCAATCCAGCCTTTTCAGGGATCTCAGAATGCCAAAGGCCATCAGCGAGTTGTCACCCTAGCTCAGCATATCAACGTAATTAGTGCTTTTCTTCCTAATTGATGTTGTAAGGGGGCTGTAGTTCCGGTTCATTCCATGGCTCTTTGGAAGGAGCCAGTCGCAAAGTCTTGCAGTCCAGGTTTGGGTTAGGCATGACTGCTGTAAACAAACCATTCCTTTTAGAAGGAATTATCTATGCAACCTTCGCAGAGCCCAATCTGTGAAATTGATAGTCTCTGTGCTGAAGTTCAGAGGAAATTACTCCGAGAGAGTCGCAGGGCTGGGACTCAGGCAGCTGTTCACAGAACCCCAAATGTAATTAATTATTGCTGGGGGGAGAGTCTTTTTCAACGCTGTCCAGAATTGGGAATTCACCGCCAAATATTCAGAACAGAGGATTCATGAGCGGTTTTCAGTCTGCGTGTTCTGGGAAGCGCTGGAGCTGCCTGGGACTTGGCCAGGGGCTCCTCAGTGAGCAAATGGCCGCCCTTCCCTGCGGAGCATCACAGCCTGCTCTTTCCTTGCTGTGTTGGGAGTGTCTTGCCATGTGCCCGTCCAAATAAGAGCCCTAATTTTTTTAAAAAAGCGGGTGATCATTCTGTCGTGACTTCACCACTCCACGGAGGCCAAATAAGCCCTTTGCTTGAGGGGAAGGTGCAGGCTGTGAGCCGCAGGACCTGGCGGTGACGTGCCCCAAGGCCCTCCTGCCAGATTGCGTGGATCGCACAGGACGTGCGCCACGACCCCAACCTGAGCTGTGTTCTCTCTTTACAGGAGGTCATCACACAAGACTACACACGCCACCATCCCCAGCAGCTCAACTCCCATATCCAGCACCCCGTGTACTCCTATCCAGGGACTCCGTGTCCGGTGCTGGACCTCCGGCGGACTCCCAGTGACACTTACATGCAGCAGCAGCAGCAAATGGAACACTTCCCCGCTTCCCGGATCTCCCCAGAAAGTGAAGGAAGCAAAAGGTGAGCCAGCTTTGTCCTCCTCTTCTGCAGCAATTGCCTGTTGACAAATGGGATGTGAGCCGGACAGAGCCGCCCACCATTAAGTCCCACTGGGGAAAAGATCAGGAGGGTGGCTACCCAAGCAGGGCCTTCTCTGCAGTGGCCCCCCGACTGTGGAATATGCTCCCCAGAGAGGTTTGCCTGGCGCCAACACTTCTTTCCCTTGGGCACCAGGCAGAAACCTTTTTATTCTCCTAATATTTTAATTGTTAGATTGTTTTCATTTGTGGTTTTACACCAAATACTGGATGCTGTGATACTTTTTACTCTTATTTTATTTCATCGATGTTGTCATAAACCATCCCGAGATGTTTGCGGTGGGACGATATAGAGAAGTTTTAAATAAGTAAATAATAAAATAAAATTGGCTTCACACAGAGAGAGGTGGGTGTAGGTTCCGCCTTTCCGTTAAGGGAATGGAATTTAAAATTGGTTAGGAGGCGTTCGTGGAATAGTCAAGGGTGCCCCCCGTCTATGAAAAGGGCATTGAGGTGGAGTCATTCCATCTTGCTCTCCTTTACGGATGATTTGTCTGGAAAGGAAAAATAACAGATGAGCCACTGGGAGACACGCGACGTTTCCAAGGGACAGGCCATGGCCTCTGAACTGTTCTGTTCACGTCCTGCCCGGGGTCACTCCATGGACTGGAGCGACCTGGTCCTGCCCTTGCAGGTTGTCCTCGGGCTCTTAGGATGGCCACCGAATTCTGAGAGTGATGTTGGGTTGGCAGGAGCAAAGCCTTGCCTGGATAAAACTGCTGAGCTGCCAACAAGAAAGCCGGGGAGAACCACTTGGCATGTAATTGGGCACCTTGGAGAGCCGAGCCTCTTGCACGCTTAACGGGGAGCACATGACGCAGGTCTCACCCCTAACAAAATACGAGCTGCGTCATAAGCACTGGAATTTTGGCAATCCGAGGCTCAGACTCAGGTGTTGGTGAGTCGTTCCAGTAACGGAGTTCTAGTGCTGTGGGATCGCATGTAATCCTTACTGCAGTCCGCTTAGAGCGCCCCTGGAAAGGCAGCAGAAAATAAGTTTTATTAATTAACAGATAAAATGCTCTTCTCTTACATGGCTCGGTAGCCCATGGGTTGGAGAATATGGTCAGAATGTTTGCATGTGTTGCTCTAATTAGTAGCCGGCAAACAAGGAGCGCCTGACTGAAGCGGCCTTTCTGGAACAGGCCCTTAGTCCAGCCTTCTCCAGCCTGGTGCCTTCTAAAAGTATTGGGCTACATCTGCAGAGAAGCTGCCTTAGACCGGTTCTAGAGATTTAGACCCTGCAGAAGCCCTGTCTGCCTTGGACTCACAATAATTTGAACAGTTCTCATCCTTTCTTTTCCCTGCCCATTCCTGCTAAAATGTGATTTGTGGGTTTTGATGGAGAGCGCTAATCGCCAACAAAGTCATTCTTACAGAAGAGGAATTCTGAGCATGCAGAATTGCTGCAATCCTCTTTCCCCAGTGGAGGCGGGCCAGGCGGGTGTCCAACAGGAGACAGGACTTGGAGAAGAAAGCACCCATCCCAGCTATGGTGATTTTTACGCTAGGCCATCTTTGGTAGCCCCCCCTGCCCCTTCCACTCCCAAAACACTCAGTTTCTTCCGGTCGAACGTGGCTACTGCTCAGTCTGCTCAGCAAGGCTGTTGTGCCGTCCCGTCTCCCCTCAACCCGCTTTCTCGTGTCACGTGCCGTGGCTCACAAGCTCCTGCTGCTGCCTCTTCAGGTCTCCGGAGCAGATCAAAGCACCTGCTTCAGACAACTGCATTGAGCCCATTTCCCCGCCAGAGGGGATTGGCGAAGCCGACCCCGTGCGGAACACCACCTATCCCATCCTCTATCGGGAAGGAGACCAGGTGGATCAGAGGTAAAACGGGCGGGTGGCAGGACAGCCGCGGGTGTCTGGGGAACTCAGTAACGTCATGCTGGGTTTCCGTGCATTATTTCCCCTCGTATCAGCGGTCCTTCTGTCCTGAATGGTGCAATGGGGGGAGAGAGGGAGGCGACAGAGTTCTTAGGAACCTTCCTGAAGTTTGTGTGTCACACTGTAAGCAAAGCGCTCTCAGTGCATTGGCGGGCTGGCCACTTTTAGTGAGGAATCCTTAGGTGCCTTATCTGAGCGGGGCTGTCTAGACGGCAGTGATGCTATCAGGTGCCCACCGCAGCAGCTGTTTAACAGGGTTTCAATCGTGCAGGATGGGTTCCAAATCTCCAGGAAACAATGTCCAGCCACCGGCCTTCTTCAGCAAGCTGACAGAAAGCAATTCGGCCATGGTGAAATCTAAGAAGCAAGAGATCATCAAGAAACTCGGCACAAACAACCGGAATGAGGCAGAATACAGTAAGGACTTCAGAGGTTTGGGCTCTCATTCCTCTAACTCAGTGATGGCAAAACTTTAAGATCGAGTACCAAAACTGCAACCCAGAACCCACTTATTTCTCGCAAAGTGCTAACACTACCATAAAACCTGAAAACTGAGGTTTTAGTTTAGAAAAAACAGCTCACAGCCAGTCTGAGGATATCTATCTATCTATCTATCTATCTATCTATCTATCTATCTATCTATCTATCTCCTTGGCAGGGCACTGACTGTCCATGCAAAAGCTCAGATGAGTCGCGGCTAATGTGTTGCGGCTTTTGGCATCATCACCTGGCACAACTTCTTCTTTCTGAGCATGCGCATGGCCCCTATGCGGGCTGCTATCCGATGCTCGGCTGCTGGGGCGACTTGGCTCACGTGCCAACAGGGAGGGCTCTGCGTGCCGGCTGTGGCACACGTGCCATAGGTCCGCCACCAACTGGTTGAGGGGCAGAAGTAACCCAACCGTTGTTTCAGTTAGGGCTACTGTGTGGAATGAATTGTCCCATCAGTCAGTCGACTCATTGGTCATGATCCATTAATTCTTTTTAAATCTGCATGTGTCTGCAAAGCTGGATGGAGCCACTGAAGCAATCAGTGTGAGCTCAGGTGGACTCTGGGGGATGGTGGCGGACAGGAGAGCCTGGAGGAATCTTGTCCCTGGGGTTGTGATGGGCCTGGCACGACTTTGCGACTGACGTAATAACATAATGTCTGCAAATCACTCTGGATTGTCACTGGGGAAAAGAATCATGTGAGGGGAAGCCGGAGGTGGTAGAAGAGAAGGCCAAATATGAGATGACTGAATTCCACAAGGGAAGTCGCAGCCTTGCATCTGCAAGAGCTGAACAGGACCGTGAAGGACAAAACATTTTGGAGGGCTAAGTTGGAGATGACTTGGTAGCGCTTAACAGCGACAACTGCAGGTGACAAGGGTCTTCCTTAGAAGAGACATTCCTTTCTGTGTGTGAGCACGGACTACTTCTTCTAAGGTAATGGCTGCTGGAAGCATCAAATAGAATTAAGGCTATTTCTCAAGCGCAGGTTTGTGCAGCGTAATTGGGTAGCAACGCTGGCTAGTTACTGTTGCTAATATTGTCCGGTGCCTTTTGCCCAAGCAGAATTTGACTCCAGGTGGCTGTTTTCAGCCCCCCCCCCCATCAAATTGGGCCCACTTCTGGCGTCCCAGTTGCTATGGATGGATTTATATTATAAATGTTTCCCTTCTGTTTATCAACCATAAATAAAACAAGTCAGCCTGTATTTTCTTTAGCCTAGTGCTGTGCAGTTGCTGATAATCTAATCTGAGACCCCCCTCAAAGCCATGACAGGAAAGTCATCTCGGGAGACCTTCCTCTTGATATCACCATTATCCCAACTCTTCATTCAGCTTCGTCAGGGACTCACATCTAAATCCTGCAGCCTCTTGCTTGCTTTCATTCTTTTATAACGGTCTGTTTGGTGGAATGTTCGGTTGTGTCGGGAACAATAAACACTATTGCAGCATTCTTGTTGTGAGATATGGAATGACAGACTTTTGGAAGAGCACAGTTAAATTTATGAATCTAAATTATGCCTCATGGGATGCTGTTAATGCTTCGGATGTCTCTCTCCTCCTCCTCCTCCCCTGCAGATGTTGGACAACCTGGAACAGAGATTTTCAACATGCCGGCCATTACTGGAACAGGTATCCACCGTGCTTCCTCTCCACCGTGTGTCTGACTCTCCCCTGCCTTCCACACAGAATGTTGCAAGCCACGTCGAGCGCCCTCAAATAATTCAGGCATTATCTATGTGACAATGATAAGTCTTTCAGCAAGGTGGCATTGAAGCTAGACGTAAAGTTACAGGCTGCCACTGTGCTATTAAGCCCCGTGGACACGAGGAGACCAAAGGTGTGGCAGGAAGGGTCTTCTTCAAAGTTTGTTTGGGAATGACTGTCCAGCAACATCCTCTGAGACAGCTGTGTGGAAACTCAGGAGGAGAAGTGGGAGCTAAATTCTAAGCGGGATTCTTAAATATTTACAAAAATACCGCCTCACTTCCATATTAGTCTCTCTCAGTTTATCTTTTATTTCATTGGTTGCTCTTTCCCTGGGATCGATTAGCAAGCAGCTGGCCAGCAGTGGCCCTTCCAGTCTATGTGCATTGCCGCACCTTAACTGCATGGCTTCTGATGACTCACAATCGCAATACCAGAGCACACGCGCATGCACACACACATACACACACACGCACGGACAACACTCAGCTTGTCTCCCATTAGGAGAGTCTCTTCATCTCGTAAGTCTCCGCCCTAAGAAACGGAAATCGAGCTGGAGGGATTTGGGGTCGGGGTGGGAGACCTCAGCAAATTTGAGGAGGATGGTAAAGAGAATGTGCACTCAGAATGGGAAAGGTAACAAGAATTCCCTCCCACTGTATATTTTTGCCGTTCCTCCCATTTGGGGGTATTGAATTTGGGGGTAACCCACTGCCTTCTACAACTTGTTCGTAGCATCTTGCCTATACCTACGAAGATAATAGCACCTCAGCTTTTTGGAATCAACAATTTAAAGAGTGTTATAGGAGAATCAGACAATCCCATTAATGAAAAAGAACTCCCTAGATAAGAGAAGCTTTTAAATTAACAAATGTCTTATTTCTGCTCAATTTTCTTTCTACTTTGTTCACTCGGATCAAAGCTTTTGTACTGAAATTATTGCTGGAATTAAGGCATTCCAACAGACAGTCAGCCTAGCCTAGAACAAGCATTTTCTGCACAGGTCGGATAGAAAACACGTCAGAAATGGATGTTTGACATGGTTGTCTGCAGGCATCCAGTGTCTCTGTAACACATCGGGGTTCCAGCAGAGCAGTTGGACCTCTTGCCTCTTTCCAGCATCCGGACGTTGGATGCCAGTTTAGCTTTCCGCAAGAATGCAGCCTGAACATTCTCCACGTGGGTTTTTTCCCCCTGGGGCACATAATTTCTTCACTGATCTGTAGCACATCGCTCCCAGAGCTTTTCCATGCAAGCTTCATTTGCGAGTGAGCGTGCTTCCTTTATAATCGGCTTTGTGTAGTTAAGGAGCACCAGCCAAGAGAAGTACCATCATGTTGGGCTTGGACGGCTGGACTTCCTTCACACTGAGCCCTCCGTTTCTGGCCCAGCGTGGCCGGTTCCAGCTGCTGCTGCCTGCTGCTGATTCGCCTGAGCCCGGGATCACATCCTTGTTCCCCGCTCATGCGGATGAGCCCAGGAAGCAAGAACCAGGAGACAACCCCCTTCCACAACCGCTCCACCTGGAGGCATTTCAAGCGTCCACACTAGCCCAGGACCCGTGCATAACGTAGCGAGAGGCATCACGGTCCTGCTGTGCCCCAAGCCAAAGCCCCCTCAGGCGACCCTGAAGCTGGCCCAACACCCCAGCCCTTTAACCATGAGGAAGAAACTCGTGTGCCTGTGCGTGTGTGTGTGCGGTGTATCCACGTGTGTGTGCATGCGTGCGGGGCATCCCAGAAACAATCCGTGAGTAGTTTCTGTTTCTCGTCAGCATCCCTGCCACCTCCTCGGGAGCAGTCCAGGCGATGCCCGGCGCGCAGGGTTCGAGGGGGAAGCAGTGAGGCGGCCGCGATAGAGTCCGTTGCTTTGCAAGAACGTGCTGACTGTTTGTTTCTTCCCTTCTCCCTTGTTGCTTTTCCGCCTCCCCCCCACCCCCGATGTCTGACTTGGTTCCCCACTTCCCCAACCCGTTTCCCCCCTTCCCCCCCCCCCCCACATCTCCCAGGGTTAATCAGTTGTAGGAGCCAGTCGGTCCAAGAAAATTCCAGTACCAACATGGGGCTGGAGGCAATTATTAGGAAGGCCCTAATGGGTAAATATGACGAGCAGTGGGACGAGCGCTCTCCTCTCAGTGCCAATGCTTTTAACCCTCTGAATGCCAGTGCAAGCTTGCCCACTGCTATGCCTGTAACCGCTGCTGACGGACGGATTGACGAGATGCGCTCCTCCTTGCCAGGTCTGCAGTTCTTCCCGTCCTTCGACATCCTCTGTGTTGTGTCATTAATCCTCTCTGCGTCTTTCTAGTGGTTTTTTGTGTCTTCGCTGTCTCTCTTCACTTGAAGCTTTGGGCGTTTCCTTGTGTCTTAGGGCTTCCTTTTAGAATCATACTGATTCGTCCCCAGTCCCGTGTTTGAGAAATACTTTAATTTGGTGGTGCCATTTTGCTTCTTCTAAAACACTGACAATCGTGCTGTCCCTCCCTTTGTCCTGTTTTGTTTTTAGTGATTCTCTCTTTCCTACATTGGCAAAAAGGGTAGGAGCTTAACAGTGCTGGGGTGGCGAAGAGAACACGGAGCACAGCCCTCAGTCTTTTCGGGGAACGCGGAGGGAGGAGAGGATAGCGGATCCATCAGGACAGGGAGAAGGGGCGCTGCCAAGTCAGGCCAAGATTGAGGGAAAGCAGTGTGTTTATGTATGGCTCAGTACTTACAACGGTGAATGGTATTGTGCTATTTTCAAATGACCTGCAAAAATGTCCATGATCTGTGCGTTTGGTTCGTAAATGTCCCAATTCCAAGGAAAACGAAGAGGCCATTTGTGTCCATCTTCCACCACCGCCTTGTCCAGGCAAGCTCGAAAGATCCCCCCTGAGGGAGCAGCCTGTCCCTGAAACGACTCGCTGCAAGAGCTGCGCGAACACAGTGGCTGCTCGGGCAGGTTAGGCATTGACCATCTCCACCACGGTGCCTTCAGCAGAACCACGTGCTCGGTGCCCACCAGCCGAATGCCCGTTTGACCGTGCCTCTGAGCGTGCGGCCCACTGAAAGCAGTGCGGTGCATAATGTATCTGCGCTGCAGGATCATCCTTGACTCAGGAGAACGCATGTCCCTTCGGTCCCTGCTGTGCCCAACGATGGGAACCGAGGCCAAGAGATCAATCCTGTACATATTAAAATAGGGGGAGATGACAATTCCCAGCATTCCCTTGTCAGCATGATCGGCTGAGGACTTTTTTCTGCCTAGGCATGCATGGGATTGGTGCCCTAAGAGACTTCCCTTGCCCAAATTAATTTCTCCAGTCCCCACCATCAATTCATTTATTTTGCAGTCAGCTCCTCCACTCACTGAGTGCTGGAGGCACTTTGCAATTAAACTGTACAAGCAGAAAAATGCAACAATTCCAAGCTAAACTAACACTCCACTGATTAAAACACCCATCTTTCAATAAAAGGAGAAACCTAAATCAAAGAGCAGCATTATTCAGCGCAGGCTTGACAGAACAGAGCGGGTTTTTTGCCAGGCACCCAAAGGCCACTAATGAAAGCCAAACAGTATTTGTATGTAGCTTCTCAAAGGAGACTATTTAAAAAAAAATAAAAGTCTGGTCTTTATGAGATGTCGGAAGGGACACTCCCTGTAGCTTTACACAGCCTGTTTTAGCAGCTGTCGCCTGATTTCACCCTCATTCCAGCCCCGTGAGGTATGTGTTGCTGGTTTGCACTTTGCATATGAGGACGCTGAAGCTGCAGTGGCAGCTTGGCCATTGGTTAAGTCCATCATTGGGGACGTAATGGGGGGGGGGGGGGGCTAAGGGGATTTGCACTGTTTCCCAGCTTTCTAAATCTACTCTGCTACCTGCTAAGCCTTGTTCTTCTATTTCTGTCTGTATAAAGTCTCCTGTAAAGCTCCCACTTGTTAGGGCGTCACGCCCGCCTCAGTGGGTGCCGTTTCAAGCGGCCTGGCCATCAGCGGGTTGTTTCAACAGTGTCTCTCTCGTCAGGAGGAGGGAAGCCAAAGATTGCTGCCAGAGCAAACAGTCGCAAGGCCAAGTCTCCGGGACCAGGCCTGTCCTCCACAGACAGGCCGCCGTCGGTTTCGTCTGTGCACTCGGAGGGAGACTGTAACAGGAGGACGCCGCTCACCAGCCGGGTGTGGGAGGACAGGCCGTCCTCTGCAGGTAACCGTGCCGGTCTGCCCAGGCTGCGTCAGCCGTGCCCGGCGGCTGAACACGGAGGCTTGCGAGCAGCGAGCGTGAGCGAGGACACAGGTGGAGGCAGCCAGGGCTTCCGTGCCAGTAGCCCCACCAGGCATCGAAAGACCTGAAGCCCAGCCCAGCCGGGGCAGCCATGCTGCTCGCAGCTGCTCACGCCGCTAGCCGGAATCGGAGCCTCGCCTTGGGGCCCATCCGACGGCACGTGGTTTCTTCCCCATGCGCCAGCGAGAGAAGCCCTGGCCGCTCTGGGGCCCTCGTCTTGCCACAGTTTAGCCAGCCAGGGAACCTCGCGGCCGGGAGACAAACGCAGTCTCCGTTCTCCCTTCGCGCTGTCCATCGCACTTCCTACTGGAGTCTCCTGCTTACCCTAACTCGGCTGCCAGCGGCTCTGGGTCTCTGGTTAAACTGTCCACCCCGCAAGGGGCTTTTAGGTTTCTCGTCGCTCTGTGTGAAGGAATTACACAGCTACAGCCCTGTTCTCCAGCCTGCACTTCATGGCTGCTCCTTAGAGGAACTGTGTTTTTCGCAACACTGCAGACCTGAGCCATCTCAGGTGTTTCCTGTTCTCTACACCAGGAATGCACACTGCAGTCTTGCTGGGTCTGATAAATCCAGGATGAGAGGCTGTGATGGATCAAACACAGAAAGCTGCTTTTCACCAAGTCACACCACCCAGTATAGGCTGCTCTGACTGGCAGCGGTGGGTCTCCAGGCAAAGGATTTCAGTCCAAAGTCAATCCTAGCCCTTTCTGAAGATGCCCACTAAGCTATGTCACTTTCCCAAAGACATGAGGGCCTTTCAATCAGGGCCTTGAACCCTGGTTTCTGGTATGACAGGCAAGGATACCTACTAGCAAGGATGGTGAGGCCTGTGATTCTGGGGAAATTGTGACAGGTCAGTAGCTCAGAGAGGAGGGCGAGTGGGCTCGAGCAAAGAACCTCTCCTGAAGACGGAAGCATTTCTGGATCCGTGGTCAAGCAGCTCTCAGCACCTTCTCCCGTCTTTCTGTCCCGATGCAGGTTCGACGCCGTTCCCGTACAACCCGCTAACGATGCGGCTGCCAAGTGGCATTGTGACTGCTGCAGCGCCTGCCACCGCCCTCCCACAGGGCAACCCCAACAGCCAGCACCACGGGTGGGAGGAAGAGCCCAAGCCGCTGCTGGTCTCGCAGTACGAGACCCTCTCGGACAGCGAGTGAAAGGAGAGGAGGCAAGGCAACGGGGAAGAACCAGTCGCAACGAACCGATGGCTCCGGTGGCTGTTGCGCTAGCCAGGGCTGGGAGACTGGCCGTCTGTGGCAGGCCGTGGCTGGCCTTGAGCAGGCTCGGGAGCAGCGCTGCTTCGGTCCGCCGATCCTTTCTGTCACATCTGGAGGGGGTAATTGCAAGTCTGCTCAGTTTTAAAGCCTTAAAAACAACAAGCCAATGGAACCCACCCCGACCGTCTCTCCCATTTTGGTGCTGAAACCTTGTGGCAAGCTGTTGTGGCGAGACATGTTGCCCGTTCCGTGCGGAGGGGCAGGGATGGAGGGCTCCCTGAGGGACTCCAGCCAGTCACCAAATCTCAGTTACTAATACTCAGGGGATTCCCATCTGCTGCACCAACTCTGTCCTTCAGTCCAGATGAGAGAGAGGAAGCCCCCTAGGAGAGGACGGTGTGTGTGGGTTGCGAAGCCATGGTGTGTGCTTGTGTGTGTGTTCCCACCTCTGTAGCACATCCTTCTTGTGCATGCTGTCGTGGCCGGTTAATCCAGTACTTGAAATAGGATTCATTAAATCACCTCTCCCTTACCTCCTGTTTCGTCGTCACGAGGGGCCGCACCTGTGGGTTGCAGGCTGTAGGGAAATGGGGAAGAGTGCCCCTCTGCAGGAAGGATCCGGTCTCTTCTGTTTCTCATCAATCAGGTGGTTCTCTTCTTTACATGCACCAATAAAAATTTAAAGAGTTGCTTGCCCAGCTGAGCTTAAAGAGGAAAAAAAAGCATCAAGCAGGAATGCTTGAGGCGCAGGCTGTGGGGTCAGGGGACTCCCCTCTTCTCAGAAGAGACGTCCTTTCGAGAAAGGAATGCTGGGTTTGATTCATATTTGAAGCGAGTTCCTTGATCTCTAGTCTGTTGGCTACAGATTGGAGGGCAGGCGGGTAAGGGAGGCGGTTGTTTTGAGTACGTTGTTTCTTGAAACACTGCTAAGTATATGGTCTACAGGGTATATTTTTGATACCTTTGGCAAATTACGCCAGATGTTTTTGCGCAAAGAAGGACTTTAAACCAGTATTATATGCTGCTTTTCGGTCTCTGCTCCTGTACAAAGAGGATTTCTGTGTTGCGTGCAAGCTTTTGATGGATTTGTCCATTGTATGGAAATGTCAAGAGGTTAACTATTCCAACAAAATGGTTCTGTAATTCAGTAGAATGTATTAACTTAGAGGTTTTTTAAAAAGTATATATAATATATATATATATATATATATATATATAAGTATATAGTCAGAACTGCAGGGCCAATATTGCAACACTCCGGCATGGAGGGGACAATAGTTTCCAAGTGAATTTGTCTCTTTTGGGAGGAGTGAGAGAAGCTGAAACGCTCATAGGAAATTTTAAACATGTATTTTTCTGACTGACCCACAATGCTTTCTTTTCTATATTCATAAGTGACTGTGGGTTTTTTTCCCTAAATCATTCTGTGATACTGTCAGATTTCAAATGACAGGAGCATGGACACAATTCAGAGTGGGAGTGTTTTTGTGCTCCTTCCGCCCCTCCCCCCCCATGTTTGTTTTCCCTTCTCTTCCTTTTTTGCACACCAGAAAATTGAAGGGCGGCTATAAAATAGTGTTAAATGTTTTTTGTTCTATGCACTAGAAGGAAAAGATCAGGGCAACAATTCCTTTGCTAGAACAGACAACAGATGTGTTTTCATTGCTGAGTAGAGGCAGCGTTCAGGAAGGGGAAATATAGCAGTGTTGCTGAACTGTAGAACATTAAAATGAATTTTAAAATGAGTTTAAAATAACTAAAAAACATACAGCAAAATTACCTTGCAGAGGAAACCAATCACCTGATAATCCCTTCAGGCCCCTAAATAAGGTGCCAGCATAAAGAGCTGTCTTAACCTGGCACTGAAATGATAGCAAGCTTGGCGCCAAGTTAGACCTCAGCAGGGAGGTTGTTCCGAAGATGGCGGCCACCGCAGAGAAAGCTCTTCCTTCGCCCTTTTGCTGCCCGCTGAGCCTTCACTGGGAGTGTCACTTGGAGAATGGTCTCAGTGCTTGAGATTTGTGTCCCATTTGGGCACTCCAGCAGATACTGTGATCCCAAGCCATACAAGGCTTTATAGGTTAAAACCAGCACCTTGCATTGGGCCCGGAAGCATACAGGTAGTCAATGCAGGCAGGTGAGAACCTCTGTCCTGTGTTTGGACTTTTGAGTCCCAGTTCTGCACAAGCTGCAGCTTCTGAACTATCTTCAAGGGCAGCCCCACACAGGGTACATTGTAGTAACCTGAAGTAGATTGCCAGAGATTGCTGAAACGAGGCTATCTTTGTCCAGGTAGGGGCGAAGCTGGGCCACCAGCCAAAATGGTGGAAGACGCTCCAAGGCTCCCCTGAGCCACAAGTGACAGAGATGGGCTAAGCTGTGACCCTGCTCCTTCAGGCGGGAGTGCAGCCCCACCCTGGACAGGTTGAACACCCTCCACTGAATCAAGGGAACCGCTCACCAGCAGCATCTCGGTCTTGACTGGATTGAGCTCCTGTCTGTCGGCCCTCTTCTAGCCTGTCACTGCAGCCAGGCGCCAGTTCAGCACTTCCACAGCCTCACCTGCTGGAAATGAGGAGGAGAATTAGAGCCGCGTGTCATCGGCATACATCAGAACCTCAGACCCCCAAGGAACCCCACGCTGGAGAATTCACAGGGCTGAGCAGTAGCCCCCAAGCACCACCTTCTGGAGGCAGCCCTCCAGAGTAGAAGCAGAGCCCTTACAAGGCCTACCCTCACCCCCTGGGGTCAGAGAGTCACCCCAGGGGAATACAATGATAGCTAAAGCCTCCAAGAGTTCAGGAGTAGCAGCCTTACACCTCCCCTCTCTCTCTCCAAGCATAGGTCATCACAAAGGGCAACCAAAGCTGTTTCCACACCAAAATCAGTCCTGAACTCTGAGTGAAATGGAGCCACATAATCCGTCTCATCCAAGAGTGCCTGGAGCTGACTGATAACCCCACCCCCAAGATCCTGCCTACCTGGCTATGGTTACTAAGCTCTTCTGGGTGAAGTGAGGATCTTTTCAGATGCGGACTCTGAAACAGCAGTGGGACTGCTCCCTCTTGCATTCATCCCTCCCTGGTCCAACCAGTTGCTCCTTTCTTACTGGCTTTTGCAGGCCAGAAGGAACAAAGGTCCAGTGAGAGACGTGGTTGCACAAACCTGACCAAGCACCACGTCAGCCGTCTTGAGCTGCTGCAACAAAAATTCACCCAATAAAGGTGGGCCAGACGGCACTCTCCTCCACGGATTCCAGTCCATTATTTCTGCAGTCTCGAGTCCCGGTGGATGCGGATTTTTTTTCCTGGAAGTGTGCAGCAAATGCACTTGGTCCTAGGATGTCCTTGGGACTGAGACACGGTAAGCCCTGGACAGCCCTGAAACGCTCAGCTGGGCAGAAAAAGGCAGGTGGAATAAAAGAAGTGAGAGAGTGTTTTCTTTGCCTCCCTCCCTACCTCCAAACACAACTGGTTATACCCGCATACCAGGTTTTTCTCCATGTGCATTCAAGCCATCGCCTACGTTTCACTGCTCTCTGCTCCTGGGTATGCCAGGAATGATGAATCCACCAGTCCGGGACACTTCTGTGTTCCACAGCACGACCAGGGCTTTGACCAGAGTGCCAGCTGTATCAGCCAAAAACAGCTCCCACCGTTACTTTCGCATGCACAAAGTTCTTGGCCACCACGTCTTAAACATGGTTTTATTCATAGTGCTTCGGGGTGTTTTTAGCAGAAAAGTGCTTCATTCATTTTACACTAAAATACAATGGCTGCATGTACCTAGAACATTCTCGTGAGAAACGGCAGCAATGTCTCTTTCTCACCTGTTCAACAAGAAATGAGATCTGACATATTGCCACCTTGATTAGTTAATGCTTCTAATCATTAATGCCTCTAATCATGTGTCCCAAGCGCTGCAGTTTGTAGTTTTGCCACTCTTCCAGTGACAAAAGGCCTACCAACTACAGTGAGAGCAGCAAAAGTTTTTCCTAATCCTTCACAGCCCAATATGCGGCCAAACCAACCTGACGAAGGCGAGGATTCTAGCCAGTGTCAGCAATACTAACACAGATTCTACCAGAGATTGTCTGCAATAATTGGCCATCAGCGTTAATTCCAGAAAAACATCTCTTCTGCCTTCAGTTCGTTTAGGATAAATGTTTAGGTCACTCTTGCACAATCAGCTTCATTTGCAGACAAGTAATAGTGGAAAAATAGAACATGTTCTCCTTGAAAACAATCGCTAACAGTATCTTTGGAAGTTATTTGTTTTGTTACGTTACCATTTGAAATGGATACTGACAATATCTAGGTCACCTGAATAGGTTATCTTTGCAATTTCCTTCCTTGGATGCTGCCAGTGCTTTTCAGATCTATTCAGACTGCTGAATTGATAGAGGTGGCCTCCTACACAGTGTTTCCACTTACGTTAAGGTAATCTCCGTGGCGTATGGCATGCAAGGAATGTGTTTATTTTGCACCAGTTATACTGGTCAGGGAGTCAAGGTGTGTGATGACTTCCTGGTTTGTATCCTCAAGGCAAAACAAATACTGTTGTTGCATTTCGTACTCCTGTCACTACGCCCTCTCCTTGTAAGAAAAATACTATGTAGGGCAGGACAAACTTCCTTTATACTCTAATCAACAGTGCCTGATTTTCAGAACCATGCGGAGCCCATTTTAGGCCACTTCCTATCCGTCAAAACTCTAACTGCCCACAGCAAAACCTTTTGACAGATCAGCTGGGATGTGCTTGCAGCCAACAAGGATTGCCCCCACCCCCTTTCTTATACCATGGTCCATTTGCATCGCTTCTTTCCTTGACTGAAGATGCTCACAGTTCTGGAACACAAAGCCACAGCATCTCTTGCCTCTTTTCTTGTTCGTTCAAGTCATATGTACATTCCACAAAGGAGTTCTAGGAATAGCCCCTTCCTCCCTTCCAAAAGGTTATTCTCACATTACCAGTCGCTGTACTTTCTCTCTCTCTCTCTCTCTCCATCTGTGTGTGTGTTTATATATACTCTTGAATTCTGTGTATGCATAAAATTCCATTTGTGTGTGCATGTCTTAACACGTACACACACACACACACATTTTTCCTGCCCCCGAATCAAGGGCCTGGGCTAGAGCCAAGTGCAGACCTGCATGCGCAAGCCAGATTTCAACCAACCCAGACTCACTTCGGTTCTACCAAATGCAGACGAGTGCCGTCCCCACTGACTGTTAGCTCCACGTAAGGCGAGCTCCGACCACTGTGCGTTAGCTTCAGAGGAAAGCCATCCTTCATACACAACTGTCCGCTGATTTTGTGTTGGTTATAGTGACATATAGATCTCTATTGTGCTACCTGCTATGGATTTTTTTAATTGTGCAATCAAGAAAAAAGGAAGTTATGTTAAACTATTAAAGTTTGAAGTGTTACCAACTTTGTAATTTGTACAAACACACACACACACACAAATTAAAGGACAATTTTATTGTTTGAACTGTACAAGGGGGTGGGCAGGGGAAGAAATCTCTATCTTTTGTACAACCAAATTGTGCATAGCTGTTTCAAAGCAAGTTGTATGATAGAATGGCCTGTATATAGAAAATACTGAGTTGTAAATATTTATGCAGCTTGCTCTAAAGGGTTGGGCGTTTTTTCTTCTATTGAAAACAAAGTTTTGTTCACTGTTGTTGTTTTTGTTTTGTTTTGTTTTGCTCTACATGCCCACTACGCAAGCATTGTGGGTTTGCAGTGTCAGAGCACTGCCTTACTGTTTAAATAATAAAAAAAGAGGGGGAAAGCTTATTGCCAGCAAAATGCAGCTCTGTTCTAATTCTTGTGTGTGATGCTAAAATGGTTTAAGGATAGCGGGAAGAATGTTGATTGGAGAACATGGACAAATGGTTAAAAATCTTGAGACTTATTTCAAGTTCTCTTTCTCTGAACTGGGAAGCTGTGACTCCAGAGCACTGAAATGTGGCAGATACAAGCTGTGAAAGACAGACTTTGCAAATATTCCAAAATACCCTCCCCCAGTATTCACACCTCTCCTTGACATGATGACAATGAGCACTCCCAGTACACTTCTCAAGAGTTATTTTGTGTTAAATGCCTTCCTTTCTCAAACACAGATGAGAAAATCTTTTGCACAAGGAGTGTCTTATTTCTCTCATGCAAACACCGCTTACAACATAAGTGGATGTGTTTCCCACACTGCCTTTTGCCACCAAAGAAAGCTTACCCATGTGTAAAACTGGTTTGTTGCCTCTGCACTAGAACTCTTGGTCTTCTCTTTGGCCAAAGTTCATTTCAAAAGACTCGAATTTGTAACACGTTCTGTGTTAGAGGGGGACAATTTAGATCTCTGCTCTGCTACTGCGAATTGGGTTGCATATGAGAAATCGCCACCGATTAAGGCTCATTTATTTGGGTCTATTTCTGGTCTGACCCACCAGGTGGCAGTACTTACCCAGGCCAAAGTTTCCATTAGATTAGTCAGAAAGATGCTTTTAACTGCTCATGTATATTTTATTGCTGGCTCTGGAGGACAGCAAGAGCCAAACTGGGCCTTATTCTTCCGCCTGCAGCAGCTAGGGCTGGCGTTGCTTTGCAAAAGCCAACACAGAAGCTGTTAGACATTTTTAGAACAAGTTGAGAATTGTAGAGGCAGCAACCCAGTCAGGAAAAGACAGACACTCCAGCCTCGCCAGGAATTTTAGACACGGGAGCAGCCTCATAAAAATCCCAGTTCATCTTTCCATGGGGGGGTGGGGGTGGAGAAAAGACTGTGCCCCACCCCCCCGCAATGTTGCAGTGTAGGAAATGTTACTTGCTAGTCAAAATGTCGAAACTATAAGGGAGGCCACCCCCTCCCCAGTCAGTGCACTTGGGAAGTTGACTGCAAGGAAACCGACACTTCTCACGAGGCCTGTGTTTGAAGAGGGGTAGAAAAATACGGAAGGAGAAGATGGGAGCAGAGCTAATGTCTCATGCAAGGCTGAGAAGCTGCAGCTGCCTCTGTTCTCACCCTGCTCAAGACATCTGAGAAGCTCCAACTTTACCACTTCGGCACAGTTCATGGCACAGTCCATTTCAGATATATCCTACATACTCTGCTCTACCTCAAATTTCACTTCTGAACTTGGTTGCCTGACAGTTTCCATAAATCTAACTGCACCTCCACCTCACCACTGGCCCAAGATACAATTCCACACATTTCCCTGTTTGCTAGCAATGACACTCCTGATCTTACATTTTTCATAAAATGGCTGGGTAACCCTAGACCAGTGATGGCGAACCTTTTAGAGACCGAGTGCCCAAACTGCAACCCAAAACCCACTTTTATCACAAAGTGCCAACACTGCAAACCTGAAAACTGAGGTTTTAGTTTAGAAAAAACAATTCACAGCCAGTCCAAGCAATATAAATAAATAAATAAATAAATAAATAAATAAATAAATAAATAAATAAATAAATAAATAAAATCTCCTTGGCAGGGCACTGACTGTCCATGCAAAAGCTCAGACGAGTCGCGGCTAATGTGTTGCAGCTTTTGGCATCATTGCCTGGCACAACTCCTTTCTGAGCATGCGCATGGCCCCTATGCGGGCTGTTATCTGATGCTCGGCTGCTGGGGCGATGCTGGGGTGACTTGGCTCGCGTGCCAACAGGGAGGGCTCTGCGTGCCGGCTGTGGCACATGTGCCGTAGGTCCGCCACCACTGCCCTAGACTGACTCCTTGCAGAATGCTCTCATCCCAAGCAATAGGGAATGGCATTCCTAGTCCAGAACAGGTTTCATACTCTTCCAAAGCAAGTTCAGTTGGGGAATTAAGAGGGAGGGGACCCGAGGAACTGTGTCTTGCCAGCAGCGCAGCAGCCAAGAGGAAACATGCCTGTGTTTGAGTAACTTTGTCTTGACAAATGGGGCTCTTGAATGAGACCTCTCCTATACTGTTTTTAGACTGGCCGAGACAGGGAAGGTGAAATAAGCAAGCAAGACTCCACCTCATTAAAGCCACCACAGCCAGCCGTGGGTTTATTTTGGAATCGCACCGGACTGCAAAATAGCTCTTTAAATGGCTCTTTTCGCTTTCCCTGGGTCCTTCCACTCTACCCAGGTTCTGCTGCAGAAAGCCCTTGCCACTGGTGGACTTGTTCTGCGACAGCTAATGATTCCTAGAGCTCTCCCATAAACACACACGTGTTCTTGACCACTCTCCAGGCTTTATCGAGAGTTTTTCGTCTCCAGGTAGCTAACTCCGATATCTTGCTTCAGCGACTGCTGGATATTCACAATTCGCTTCAGGGGAACCTCCTGGGTCACAGTGAGGACTGAGCCATTGCTTGGGAACACTGAGAGCCTCTCCACATTGCATCCCCCACCTGATCTCCCAGAAAAACCACTGCTGCTCCATGTTGTAGCTGCTCCCTGCAACCAAGGTGCTTTTAACAAGTTCTCAACGAGGCTGCATAGGTCATAGGTATTTGCAGCTCACAGGGATGACGGGCCCCTTGCACCCGCTGCTCTGTCATGTGGACCTTCCCTATTGGGGCAGATCAGATCTTCAGCTGACATATCAACCAAGGCTGATACAAGTTGCTTCAAGCCATGGGGCTCCCTTCCCCCCCCCCCCCCCAGCAGCACTGCGGGACCAGTAAGCATCTCCAAACTGCAAACCCAACTGTTCCAAAGAAGTACAGAAAAGGCGGGACGTCATTCATCTATCCTGGTCAACACTTCTCCCCTCCTCCTCTCTCTCTCTCTCTCTCTCTCTCTCTCTCTCTCTCTTAAATAGTTTTATTTGAAATTATAATCCTAAAGAACAAAGAAAAACTAAAAACATCAACCAACAAAAACATCGGGCCTGCTGGGTCAGCCCGCACACCCTTCCTTTTCCCTTCATGATAGCTTAAAAACCTATTTAAATCTATGTGAAGTCCCGTTTCTCTAGCCAATAATAAAGAGAGTCCCAAGTTTGATAGAAGTCAGTATCTTCCTTCTCCTTCAATGATAAAGTCAATCTATCCATTTCTGCACAGTCTAGGATCTTTTTAGAATCAGTTTGTCGGTGGGCCCTACTCCTCCTCTCTAATGCATATGCATGCACACAGAACTTCAGTGTTGGCCCATAAATCATGGCTATCAAGACTCAAGGCCCAAAGAATGGCTAACTCATATGGCTCCTGGTCTTTTTTAGGCACCCAAGAGACAAGTTGAGTGCTCGCCATTGGGGGTTCAGTAACAAACCAAGCAAACAAGGACACCTCCAAATGCTTGGCAAGGAAGAGCACCGGAAGCCTCAAGATTAGTTGTCAACAAAAATGCAAGGAAATGCGATTTTCCACCACCAAAACTAAATGTCAACATATTTTCCCTTGCTCAGAAAACCTCGTAACTCTAAGAAAAAAAAGGTACAGGGCCAAGTCATGCCTCCTGCCAATCAGCCACCAAGACATCAGGGAGTGAAGGGTTTGGCTTTAATTAGCCTTCCTCTTCTAGCTGATGCATCTGCTGGAGCTGAACTACTCTGCTCCTTAACTGTAATCTTTGGGCGAGGGGTTCTCTTTTCAAAACCTGAGCTTGTCATTTCCTGCAGTTCAGTTTTTAAAAAGGAAAGAAGTCAAACAAATCCTCATTTTTACTGGCAGTGCTAACAAATGGCAGGAAACACTTGACCACAGAATACATGTGACTACAGGCTCTTCCCCTCCCTCCCTTTTCCAAGCACAGTAGTGTGTTTTCATTGGATTTTTTCAAGGGGAATCTTAAAGCTGCTCAGCTATCATGAAATCTCTCTTCTTACTTCTTTCATGGCTGCGTTTTGGCTTCCAAAAAGGGGGACGAGCCCGAGGTGATGGGAAACAACGGCAGCTCTGAAGAGCCCCGGACTGGCTTCTCTGATGCAATCAAAAATATTTTGAAGGCACGTTCACATTTACTCTGCTCTAGATTAGATGCAAGAGAAACTCTGACTAAATGGCCGAGATCTGAGAAGGGAGGCTGGCTGAGCCCTGGTGGCCCACAGGCTATGGATCACCTACTGCTATGTCAAAACAGACTCCATGACCCCGCCACAGGAGTAGGTGTGGTTGGGCTCCTCCCAAGGGCCTGCAGCCCAGCAGGGCTCTGCTGAAAAGCCCCCTGAAGCTGTTCTTCCTGTTCACCATCACATGCTGCTTGTTCTGCAGCCTCTGGCTCTGACCCGTAACTGCGGGGGTGGCGTGGAGGCAGCAGCGCAGGTATCACTGCTTCCTGTCAAAGACGCAAGCGCCAGGTAGCACGGCTGAAACGGAGGGTGGGGGAAAAGTGCACCTGATGACAACAGTGGTGGGAACACAGACGCAGAGCCCCTCACCAACCTCATATTACAGAATAGCCAGTTCATAATGCTTGATCACACAGGTGCCAGAATAAGGGCATGGCCACTGATGCTCTGGAGCAGACGGGGAGGAGATGGTATGTTGCAGGGCTGGATCCAGATCCAAGTTCCATGACCTGTGCAGCTGCAAAGAGGCTTTCGCCCACCCCTCCTGGCCCCTGAAAACACTGCATGGAAATTCAGCTGACCCAGCTCAGTGGGATGAGCTGTGGCACATGAAGAGACCCTCAGAATCAGGCAGAGGGATCTGCTGGAGGCAGAGCCCATGGAAGAGAGTTCCTGGACCCAGTCCTTGCATGCCTTTGACCCCAAGGGTCGTCAGTTTCAGCCAGTGTAGCTGATGGGAGTCAGGTTGCACTTTTGCAGTTCACTGACAGAGCCCCGCATGCCGAAGTTTCCAGGTTCAACTGCCAGCGTCTCTAGGAAGGAATGGAAA